TTCGTCTATTCACTTTATTATTTGAAACACCGGATGAACGAATTTTAAGTAACATTAAATCAGCATTCTTTTTAGCAGCCAATTTTTCTAGAGCATGTCGACGGAGATAAGATAAAGCAAGTCGAATTTCTTCGTTAGTATTTCCCAATTCAGCACAAATACTTTCAATTAATTCCTATATAGAATTATATATATATTTCAAAGAAAAAGACAGGTTATTGATTTTACTTCTGGAATGTTTTCAGCACCGGTGGAAGCATCTGTATAAGGTGGTTCCCAAAGACGAATTTTATCACGTTGTAGTAGTGGACGAACATGATCAAGCAATTCTTTATTACTAAATTCTTCCATGAATAATCTTATTTTTCAATACAAATGAAGTAATGTAGTATGTGTTTATTATATATTATTTAATAAAATTGCGTGATTCTATGGCAAGAAAGGAATATTCACTTACTCATGGTTTGTTCCTCGTATGACAGCTATGAAGAACCAATCAATTGATATTTGATAATTTTTATCGACAAAGTCGGACATCTACTCTAGATTTATTAAGTCATTTATTCCTAGTAAGATAATTATAGTAACGATTGTAAATTTATTAGAACTTATATGATTTTTTGGAAATTACAATTCTGGTAATGTATTATTAAAGAATGGCATTATATTTTGAAAAAGAAAATCTTTATTTGGCATATGATCAGAAGCACCATGTGATACATGTGAAGTAAATCGATAGATTTTCCCTTGATCCCATAATGTTCGTAAACCAATAAGATCTTCAGTAAATTGACGAGATTGATTCCATAGTTCGACATCCATTGATTTTGGTTTATAACCTAGAAACCATCCTGATAGGCTTGGAGCAACAACTTCATCGACATCTGAATAAGTTATAACGAATGCATTTAATTTAAGCATATTCATTTTATAGTTTTCATTTCGTACCGATAATTCATTGTTGATATCCGGAAGAAATTGACATCGACTCATATATTTATCAAGTTGATATGGATCACGCCAATAACCTGCTACACTAATCACATCTTGAACAGCTTTTTCATAAGCAAATTCACTGATTAATTTTCGAAAATCTGGAGGTAATTGTTGAAGATTCGGAACACCAAAAACACCTCCATTAATACCACTTAATGTAATAAGATTGTAGACAGGCAATGAGCAACGTTCAACAGCAGCTCTTACAATAAGACTACCTTGAGAAAAACCAAGCATATTAAATCCTTTTTGAAGATGTGGATCGGCATGAATTGTATTACAAAATAGTTCAACTTGACGATTCATTGTTAATAAAAATGAATCATCAGCTCCATTGCCAATTTCGACTGATATAACATAAATACCTGGATAAGTTTCATTAATCCAACCAGCAAATTCATTCAAGTCACTTGCATTTCTTGTGACACCATGCATGAGTACAACAGGACGATATGTTATAGCATTGATGGAAATCGATAAAACAATCGAAATTATGAATACAAATAGAACTACACATGCCATTCCTATATGATGGTTTGTTTTCTGATCAGATATCAAAGACCCACCTACTATTTCTAATAATAACAAGCATCTGCTAGATTTCTCATGGTTAATTTATCGTGCTATGTAGTCCGATATAATATTGAAAAAATATGTTAATTTCTAATACTTAAATGGCAAGACTGTTTGTATAAAAAAAACCCTTTTTATTTTTTATTGAATCACATCTATACAATAGTAACATATAAGAAAATAACAAAAAAAAACTAGACACACACGCACTGATCATTTACGTTTCCAAATAAAGATACGACTATCATCGGAACAAGCTACTAATATTGAACCATCATAATTGAAAGATACACGACTGATTTTAGCTTTTGAATTTGGATTTTTTAATTTAACAAAACTTTAGAAAATAAATAAAAGTAAATAAATAATTAAAAATTTTACTCTTACTCAACAGATGGATTATGCATATGATGACGTAGATCCCATACTTGAATTTGACCATCTAATGTACCAATAGCAAGTAACTTTAAAATCAAACATTCAATAATCTATCTATTTCAAAAATATTCTTTTTTTACTTGACTAGCACGACAAATATCAAATTTTAGAAACCAAATATATTCTTTTTCATTTACTACCCATTTGAGAAGTAATTTAAATGATGATGCTTTTGTAGTACTACCAAGAATTGGTTGCCATAAACAAAATGTATTATCTGCAGACTAAACATATATATCGAATTAAATACAGAAGAAAAAAACAAAAGAATAATTTACTCGTGAAAGTAATACATCACCATACCATTGTACATTATCGACATAATGTGAATGAAGTGTTTTAGCTTTTGCTTCAATATCAGCAAAAGCTACTGGATATGCTTTTATTAATCGTCGTTTCTGTTCATGAATTGGATTTTCAGCTAGATCAATTTGTTCTCGAATTTTATCACTTGTTAATGACCATACAAATACTGATCGATCCATACTAGCTGAAGCAAGCATTGTACATTGATCATTAATATCCTTAAATGAATTTTTTGTTTCTTTTGGAATCAATAATATAGAATTTATTTTACCACACAAAGTACTTGATCAGTATGACCATTTGGTCCATGAAATACAACAAGACACATAGATGAAAGAACATCCCAAAGTGTTATCGTAAAATCTAAACATTAAAAACAAGAGTAGAGAATGATAAGAATTTTGTTTTTTCTTCTTCTTACTTTTGCTTGCTGTACATAAAAGGTTAGGTTTAGCTTTAGCAAATGTTAAATGATTGATAGCACCAGTTTGTAAAAGCTAAACGATGTTTTATAATTCGAAAATTTTTTCCTTCGCTATTTTCTTACTGCAGTATGTTGTGATTTTCGATGAACATCAAGTATACGCACGACACCTCGTTCTCCACCAGCAGCTAAAAGAATTTTTGGTGAATCTTCAGTTTTATCATCGATCATTGTCCATGCACATGCGAAATATTCTTCATTAGCCTAGTTCACAGAAAATAATTCATTTTATATTCATTTATAGAGACTTACATCAGGATCAAGATAAGCATGAACTAATTGAGTTTTATTTGTATTCGTATCAAATTTATAGATTTGAATCTATTATCAAAAAATACAGGATAAAATCAATTGTTATAATTAATTATAAATACATACAGAATTTGCTCCAACACTAGCAAATAGAAACCCATTTGGATATTGTACTTGATTATTAACTTCTACTGCATAAATTTGTTGACGATGATTTTCCTATATGTTAGAAGATACGAATAGAAATATCAGTTCAGATGAAATATAAGTGCTACCACGTTTGTACTTTGATAATCTGAATGCATGAATATGCTGTACGTGTTTTTGATGATGAACGAACTTCTTCTTCATCAGCACTACTATCATCACTATGATCATTAATAGTTATTTCAGATGAGATTACCTATGAAATAAATTGAAAAAAAAAAACAAAATATGTATTTATTTTCTTCTAACGAACGAAAAAATAATTGGAACTAATTTTCAATTAGAAATTTTCATGCTCACATATGTAGACTATCTTCATTAGCATTGAAAAATATTTATATGAATTCACTCACCCCTGATGATGCCATTTATTTTATATCTAAAAAAAGAAACGTTCAATAATCATCATCCACTAAAATCATTTATCTTATAAGATCACTTTGTTTAAAAAACAGGAATGAGAATATTTTCAAGATATAACTATATATAAAGAAAGAAAAGCAAATACAATTCATTTCACTTGAAATAAATCTAACAAATAAAGAAAATGCGGAACAATATATAAACAATTTTTTTGCATCACAGTTAAACTGTGCAAATTGCACAAAATAATCAAAAAGAAAAACACATCTCTCCCTCTCTCTTTCACATTGTATAACGAATCTGTTCAGTTTTTTTTGTTCGTGCATTTTTCTTTGATGACGATGATGATGATGATGTTCTAGAACGATTTGTACAACATAATAATGATCCAAACCATGAACAAGAATGAAATTTCGATGATAAAATTCTTCGTCCACCATTTATTCGATTTCGATGTCGTTGTTCATATGAATTATGTATTTCAATAGCTTGTTCAAATACATTTCGTACATTAAAATTAAGCATTGATGAACATTCTAAATAAGCTTTAGCTGAACATATACGTGCTAAATATTCTCCTTGAGACTGTGTAATTGGTCGTTGATTTTTTTCTGCTAATCCTTCTAATGTAGATGGATCATTACGTAAATCAAGTTTAGTTCCAACAAGTACAATAGGTATACGTGGTGCATAACCTTAATAAGAATTCAATTATACAAAAAAACAAAATTCTTATCGGAATATTTCAATACATACGATTTAATTCCGGTATCCATTTACTTAATATATTCGAATAGCTATCAGGATCAACAACAGAAAAACAAAGAATAAATACATTTGTATTTGGATAAGCCATTATACGTAGTTGATCATATTCTTCCTATGAAATAGATAAGAATAAAATTTTTCGAAAAAAAGTTTAAATATTTTTTCGTTACCTGTCCAGCACTATCAAATAAATTGAGAATATATTTTTGATTACTTAATGTCACTGTTGCTAGAATATTTCAATAATTTAAATCGGTAATTATCTTGTATTTAACCAACCTGCATAGTTCTCAAAAATAGTTGGAACATATGGATCTTGTGGATATTCTCCATCTTTATAAACAATACATAGTGTTGTCTTAAAATGAAACAGAAATTATTCATTTTCAAATGAATCATATCTTTTCTTACTTTGCCTGTGTAACCATCACCTATTAGTAATTTAAATTGAAAATAATATATATATATATATTTCTTTTTTATTTATAAATGGAACTTACCAACAACAACTACTTTAATTTCTTCTGTTAATGACGTCGTTGCTGTTGGTCTATAGTTATGTGACTTTGATTTTGACATGTACTAGAATGAAAAAATGAATATTTATTCATTTGACAATATGATCATGATTTAAATATCGTCGCACTGTATATAGGTGCGTTTACCTATTAATATACATTGACGATGATGATGATTTAATGATATGCAAAGGGTATGAAGAAAAAAAATGGACAGTAATTTTTTTTTTCTTTTCTGTTTTCTTTTACTGATGACCTGAAGAGACGAGACGAGACGCGACGAGACGAGCGAACAAACTGATGCATTCAAATAGAGGACGAACAAACGAGCGAGCGCTTATGTATTTATGAATATGGTCAGACAACGAATTGGAATGAAAAATTGATAGAGGTCGTGATAAATATAAGAGATAGGATTTCATATGAGAATAAGTTCACAAAAAAAAAGAGCGAACTTTATCTGATAATGACTTCATATAATACAATTATCTCATCAATAAAAATCAACAATGGTTTATAAGTTCAAAGATCTTAGAATAACTATAAGGCTTACTTTGAATAAGTGAATGATGACAAACGAATGAATAAATGTTGAAGGTGAAAATTTTGTTGATGTTAACAGTGAAGTATACACGCTCGCACCTCAACGAAAAGAAAACGAAAGGGACAGAAAAATGAGGGGAACCTTTTTTCTTCTTCTTCTTCTTCTTCGTCTTCTTGCTCTTATTCTTAGTCGTTAAATAGTAAATGAGATGTTCTTTCGATAGGCTTCTGTTCTTTTTTTCTCTTTTCTTCCTTATATTCTTTCTTTTTGTGTATGTGAAGGTGTTATTTAATAATCTATATCCAGTCATTCTTTTCCTTTCATCGTCACTCAAAATATTCTATCATATCACTCATACATTTATTGTATTTAATCATTTCGCTTCACATCGGTCTACGTAAACGAATTGATTGACAAAGTAAATCGAAAGCGAAAAAAAAACGAAAAGTAAAGATATACATATTGCGATATGATTATTTGACAATCGTGTTGTTGTTATTATTGCATTTAATACAACAATCAATTTTTATTTCAACCAGCTGAATATTAAATACAGCTGTCATCAATTCATCGATAGAAAAAAAGAAAGGCAAGGACAATCAATATTTTAAGACATGTATATATCATACTTAGAACTCCAATGGTTCATAAAGTATAATCTATAAATAACAATGCCTAATAAAGTTTATCAAGACCTTGAATATTTGACAGACGATCGACAGACGATTCATATAAATATTCAAACGTTTGACTAGAAAATGCGGGAAAAGAAAATTGAATTTTAAATTATATTATGCTTGTCAAAATAAAACAGCGTGACAAACAAGAACGATGTTCATTCTTTCGAACAATTATTAAATGAATAACTAGTCATACCAAAGGCGTTTTCTTTTTCTTTCTCGATTTGTTTGTAAATTGAACAGTCTGATTTTAATCATAGAAACTTTATGACAAAAAAAACGTTTTGAAAGTTCAAAAGAAAAACAATGACATCAGCCTTTTTTTGTCTTCTTCTTATATCTCTAATATATATAAGGATATAGTCATAAGTGTTAAAACCTATTTCTTATATTAAATACTATTTATATTGCATGTTAATATCTTGCATGTCAATTTGTCATGAATAATTCTTTTATTAAAAATATATTCGCCAGTTTTTGTTGTTTTTAGTCTTCGGTGAATTAGCTTACACGAAGAATTGACACTGTTTTTCATATTTATGGAATATTTAAACTTCATGTATATGTAATTAAATTCGAATTTATATAACTAATGTTATTAATATAAACATTGTATTAATTCATTTAATAATAAACTTTATTTTTTTTTCAATATTAAATTAAATTATTCTGTGCATATTCATTGAAGTATTTAGTTATCTTATGCATAGTATAATAAGTAAATAAAGATATATGAATATGATTTCATTATTATTTAAAAATCAAATATATTTTTTAATGAAAAATTCACAAATCTAATCAAGAAACAAAAAACGAGAAAACCCTTGTTTATTTGCATGTTAAGGAAAAAAAATGAACAATCGAAATAGAGTATATTAAAATTATCATAAAGTATGTGTAAAACACTACGAGTCTTATATTCTTTGAAAATATAATATGTAATAGTGAAGAAACTATTTTTTCTTATATAAATTTAAACACTAATTAGAAAAAAAGAATGTTTTAATAATCAATTATGAATATTCTGTTCATAACCATTGTGTGATTGTTGAACAAAAGCTAAATCAACAAAAAGTATTTCTCCATTAGCAGCTATAATCATTGTTTGTTTAGTCAAAGCCATTGTTGCTGCTTCACTGTCTAATTGAAATAATTCAGTTACAACATTTGGATCATTTGGTCGAATTTCAAGTACACGTGACCAATGTTTTTGCCATTGACCATTAAAATATTTTCCTGATGTCATTGTATCTAATATATAACATTTTTCATTATTTATTGCATGAACGGAACATGGCCAACGAAGACGTTGAGTTGATAATAAATCAGCATCAATTATTTTTATTATATTACCAGTATTGACATCACAAATATGAAGTGAAAATGTATAAGCAATACCTTAAAATTTCAGAATTTTATTTAAATAAAATCAATATTTTAATATCGTTACCTTGATTATAATAAGGTTTACATGAATGTTCAACAATCATATATAAACGTTGTCCATGAACAGATATTAATTTCGGTCGAGCTAAACATAGAATATATTAAATAGATTTATTTATTTCAATAAAATCTCATGATTTGCTTCAATGAAGCACTGTACACATCTGTTAGTATCATCAAATAAGAATATCAATCTATCATTTGAAATAAAACTATACTCATTTTTGTTAAAACGAAAAAAACAAGAAAATTTTTTATGTTAAAATTATACCTTCATCATATTTATCTGAATGATTATAAATTCTCCATTGTGTAATAAATTCTAATTTATCATCAAATTTAATTATAGATGAATTCCGATAATCACATACATAAACACATCCACGTATATTATCTGTATCGATACCTAATGGTAAAAATGTTCCGGATTCTTCAGATGATTCTGTTTCTATATGAATATAAAAAAAATTTTCAATAAAAAAAAAACAATAATCTTTATATCATACCTTTAACACAATCTAATGTCAGTCCACTTTCAATATCAATCATACTTACAGTTTCACCATGTGATATATAAGCTATATCATGTGTTTGATATATTTTTGATAAAGCTATACCACGTATACTCGGTGTTAATGGTATTGTCTTTAATGTATCACCATATTCATTAAGAACAAATAATTTATTACAAATACCTAATAAAATTTTCTTATTATTTTCTGTTATAGCAATAGCTTCAGGCTCTAATGTTGATAAATGATCCATTTTTATATATTTATATGGTGTAAGATTCGTTATTGGTTGTTCTACAGTTGGAATCGATGATGATGATGTTGTTGTATAATTTCGTTGTGTTTCAATTCCATTATATGTGATTTGTCCAATAGTATCTGCACCTATAGTATGACGTCCTTCAGCAAATGTTAAAGCACTATGTGGTTCTTTATGTTGTTCAACAGCTTGTCGAATATTTCTTATATTCAATTCAATTTCTTCGAGATTATCCCATAATTGTTGTTTATTATTATTTGTATTTGATTTTAAACGTTCTAATTCAGTACCAACAGTATTTGTATCCGCAGCTAAATCAGCATAAATTTTTTGTTTACGATGATAATGTTCTGTTATATCATCATCAAGATGTGCAGCAATATTTTTAACTTCATTATGTATTGATGATTGTTTACGATCAATTTGTTTACGTACATCATCAAAATCATATTTTAACCGACGAATTTGTTCTTCAATTTCATGTTCTAAACGTTTCTGATCGGATAATAATGTTTCAACACGTGATGTTACATTTGTAGGTGTTGATAATGTTGATGGAGGAGATAAATTATTTTCTTCTTGACGATAATAATATGTTTCACGTTCATGTACCATTGGAAGTGGACGATTTATTGAATTTGATGAATTACTAACAAGCTGAGAAGAATTATTTCGATGAAAAGTAGGTAAAATATTATCATTAAGATTAAAACGTTCTGTTTGGGGTATTTTAATCTTAGAAAAGAAAAAATATGATTCGATTATATTGATTATAAACTTTAACTTACCTCGGGTGTAATTAATTGTTCATGTAGATCATCATTAATAGATGAGCGATATGATAACGATGATGTTGATCGTTGTTTTGCTGTACCATTATGAGAAGATTGTGGTGTTTCAAGATTTTGTGGTGGTGGTGGAAAACGATCTGAAGAACGTCTTGATGATGATTGAGATATTTTATCATCTTGTTGTTGTTGTTGATAAGTAGATGTAGTATTTATTCTTGGATGAATATTATATATTATTGGTGCAGTTGGTGATCGTCTTGATATGATATCACTAGTACCACTTTGAACACTATCTGTATTACTTGTTTGACGAAAACGTTGTCGTTGAGAATTCATTGAATTTAACGTATGATTTGTATTAATATCTTCGTCATCGTTGTTATTATTATGATGTGTATGAGAAATTGGTGATAAATGATGATTTAATTGTGTATCTATGATAGGAATATATTGAGGTGTTGGACTTTTTTTAGGTGATTGTCGATGAATAGATTCAATCATTTCACGAAGATTATCAAGATTAGATGACATAATAGATATTGGTCTTTCTTGTATTTCAAATGGATGATGATGATTTTCTTTTGCTGTTTGTAATTGTTCAGGAAAAGATGATGCAACTGGAATTGTTCTATATAAAATTTTATTATTTTAAATTTTCTCAAAAAATAAAAAACTTTTACCCATGAACAAGATGATCCCATGTAATTTCTTCTGTAACTTCTTCATATGCTTGTGATGATTGTTTACCATTCAATGGTGAAGATGTTCGTTGTTCTTGATATCCATTATTACGTGCTTGTTCAAAGATTTTGATTAATTCATCATGTTTATCTGTTGTTGTTATAATATGATCTGTTCGTTGAGATTTTGGTGCTGTAGCTTCGGAATAAATTTTTATTAAATCCGAAACAATAGGTTGTATACTTGATACGCTCGATGAACGTGATAAACGATTTCCATTTTCTCCTGTTCCTGATGATCGATTAAATGCATTTACAATTGATGCAATACCATTTAAATTTGTACCATTTGTAGGAATGATATCATGTCCATCAATTTCATTTATAATTGGTTTATGTCTATCATGTTCTAGTAAGATTTGTGTTTGTGGTATGATTAATTGAGATGATGATGATGTTGAACTAGTTGGCTGATATGCTATATGTTTTTTAGGTTGAGGAATTGATGGTATAGGACGAGCACCTATACGCCATTCTTGACTTAAGATAAGATTAGGTGGTAGATCACGTAAATTTGTCTCATCAAATGGATGAGCCTAAAGCGAGAATAATGACATTAAATTTTATTTAAAAACTAACATGTTTAAAGATATAAATTAATAAAACACTCAAAAGAAGTTTATAAATGTTCTTATCTCTTCTATGTTGAAACATGAAGGTCATTATAGTAGGTTTTATTTGTTAAAAAAAAGTTATTTGTCATTCAATTGATAAATACATATACTTACTTGATAATGACATTTCGGACACGTAAGTCGACTATTTTTTATTAATTTATCACGAATACAATTGAAACAATATGTATGCGTACACGGTAATACACGTGGATCTTTATATTCACCATTACATAATGGACAAGCATGAACAGTTTCTTTTTGTATTGGTGGTGGTGCTGCACTTCGTACATTAAAAGCACGTTTCTCACCACCACCTAGACCATTGATACTACTTGCATTACTTGAAGAACGACTTATAATTGATTTTGGTAACTGACCAGCACCATTATTATAACGAGCTATTGGAATATTGCTTGCTACACGAGACATTTTGTCTATATTTATTTAATGGTATGACATGATGTCTTGAAAAATAGGAAGGAGTAACTTATTTACTTATACTGGCTTCTGTCAAATATATATATATGTGATATACCTAAAATAGAAAAAAAAAGAAATAAAGGTATGTCGATCACTTAAAAGCGGTAACGAATAAAAAAAGACAGAAAGTGAAAACATGGTGTTGTTTCGTTTTTTCTTTTTTTAAAGTAATGCCTCGTCACTTCTTTTGATAACATACAGCAGCTTTTATTAAATAGACCTTACACATATAAAAAAAAATGACAAGAATGAGTGAGAAAAATGTCGACAAAAATATAACGTCGTCATTTTACACATCAATACATCATTTTTCAATATACACAAAGTCTATTTCTCTTTTTTCGACAGAAAACCATGAACTCATAATTGGAGATTGTCAAATATCTCGATCGATCATATATATAAAAATTTCTTTAGTTAAGTAGTACTTACTACTTGACTTTTGAATTTGTTTAGTCAAGACAAAAAATATTATTGTATGAAATATGAACTGTTGAAAAAACAAATAGAAAATTGAAGGTTAAAGAATAAGTATAAGGTGAGAAATAATAAATCAAATTGATTTATATGTTTAGAAGATATTAAAATATCAAATGACTGAAACACGCGTTCAATTAGATAATTGAATAGGAGTAAAACGATGAAATAGTCCTCCTCAAGGATTAGTCTCAGCTTGCTAGTCGAATAATATGGAGAGTCATTTTAATTGCCCCTCATTGTGTGACCGAAATGTTAGTTGTAGGATTAAATCGACAAGAACGAGACTAATTTTTTGTCGTTTCTCTCTCTCGTATTCTCTTATGTTCAATATGACCCTTCTTCTTCGTTATTCTCAATTTTTTCTCTCTTGTCGAACCAATACATGAATATACTTCTAGTCATCAATGAACAACATATACACGAGCTTAAAAGCAACAAAAGCTGTATGTGTTGTACTATACATTCAAGCAAATAAATGTACAGAGAAAAGACAACATCATATCGTAGTCATACAATGCATTACTATTTAATAGTCATTGAAATGTAAAGAATATATATGTATCGAGGCGTAATAAAAACCGGAAATGTGTCTTAATACTTATTCGTTTCGATCAAATCGTATTGCGTGATAACTAAAGATTTAAATATAATACATTTTCTATAATTCATATTAAGTATGTAAGAATGATCACTACGAAAGGTTATCAAATCAGTGTGAAGGTAACAAGTGTATTGAAACATGACTTATGAATAAAACATATGTATATATGTGTTCATATTGAATTAACAATTAATGATTATTGTTTTCTTTTTCTTTCTCTATTCAAAATGAAGAAAAAAAAGAAACTTATTTGATTTTGATTAGATGAACAAATTCATTTTTAATACGATGATTGAAACAATAATAAATATTTATGATTTATTTGGGTTTAATTTGAAATATAATGACTTGAAACTATATTCTAACGTACTAATCATTCATCTAAACTTATATATAGTTCTAAATGCGCCAAGATAATGCCGTCAATTTATTTGTGTTTCCAAAATGTTCAGGCGCATTTTTATTTCATCATCATCATTCTGTTAATCTTAAATATATTTTCTTCTTATGTTACCTTTTACAATTCTTATACATAATACAAATGCAGCATCTTCTTCATTAACAAATAATATTTTATTAACAAATTTTCTTGAGAAAAATTTTCAATATCCAATTCAATCATCATTTAATCGTCATGCACGTATACCATCATTATTATCAAATATATTTCTTTGGTTATCTTTTTTCTTAACTATTATTGTACTTCAAATAGGTAAACATGAATTAAATATAAATATAAAAATAATTTATAGTTTAACGATGTTATCAATTGTTATTATTTGTTATATATTTATTTTATTGGAATCAAAAGGTTGTATTGAACAAATTTTACTTAGAAAACATATTCATATTGATATGATTAAAAGAGAATTAGGTTTAATTCAAAAGAATTCGAAATTAACTAATTATTTAACTGTAACAGCAACAAATTATTTTAATTCATTCAAACGAAAATATATTGATTATCAAGTATGAAAATAGTTCATTGTTAAAAGTTTTTCAGTATAATAGATAAGATCTTCCGATTAAAGAAATGTATGATAGTCATGATCACCGATTAAATTCATAGCTAACGAAGAAACGTCCTTAAATGTTCAAGTTGATTAGAGCCCATCTGTTGGCCATCAGTAGACCTGAAAAGGTTCTGACATTATTTTCGAGATATGATTATTTTACTGCCTAGAATATTCATAAAGTTTCAGTCAAATCAGATGCTTCCTTAAGAAGTTACTAGCTTTCCAGTAAATACTCATAGTTTGACAAAATCAAGGAGGTAATAGCTGGCACTCAGCACCGAAAAACACCGAACAGGTGCTGAGGTATTGAGCAAGCGCTGAGCTGCTGAACCAAGGGAATAATAGCTGGAACCCAGCACATTAGCACCTGCGCAGCACCTCAGCGTCCGTTCAGCATCTCAGCATCTGTTCGGTGTTTTTTGGTGCTGGGTGCCAGCTACGACCCCCTTGGACAAAATACTCTTAAACGAGATTTTTTAAACTTTCGTTTCGATTGAAACTTCCTGAATATTCTGGGCGAAATCTCAGATCCAATTAAATAATTCTATCTCGGGAATAAATCATTATCCTTATATACATTTTATTTTCAAAGAAATACACGAAATAACAATAGTATTATCTACTATTGTCTTTTAAATGCTTTCATTTTAGTCATACGACAAATCATTATATATACGTTTTCAATCATGTTTTTATCGTCATATTCGATTTATTGAGACTCCATTTAATATTCGCCAATACTATATAAATATTCCTGATTTTTCAATAAATCAAAATTATCTATGTCAAATATTATTTACATTTAATTTATCAATTATTGGTCGAGATGCTGATATTGTACATGATGATATTAAACAAGAATTTCAACGTCTTGAAATGAAATTATTTAATAGAACGAATGAAAATGATATTGATGTAAATTTAATGAATAAATTAGCACGTATACAACAGCATATTTATTTTCGATTTAATGATATAAAACAGCAAGATTTATTATTAGGTCAACGACGTACATGTCTTATTTATGAAAATAAAACGAATATATATTATCGATGGTTTTTAACTGAAAATATTTTTTGGATAATGACATGTATCGGTTTATCATGGTTATTTCGTGCTATATTTGCATGTTTAATAACAAAAATTATCGTTCCTATTCATATTGAATTAGAAGGTGCTATGCCTTTACAATTCTCTAAAATCAATCAGGAGGAAAATATAATCAAAGGAAAAATATCGAACAAGATTTAGATTTTACACATATAAATATTTTTCGTTTAATTCTATCAAAAGTCTACCTTTATTTTCATATTCAACATTAAAGTTGTAGAGATCATTTTTAAGTATATGCGAATTCTTGATTTTATATTGAATCTTATTGGTGTGTATAAATACCAATAGAATAACTTTGTTCGTTCTGTTATATCTGACAGTCAAACAAAGATAAAAATGAATGATCGATAAAAAAAATATAATATTACATTCTCTTCACGTCTACTCTTCAACTATATATTATTCGATCGAGTATTCTATGAATATCATGTTGCTATTACTCATCGATTGAAATACATCATGACGAATGCGACTGTTGTTACAAGCAAGCCTATTGTACCAAGTTGTATGTATAATCAATAAAATATAAAAAATTTAAATTACGTAAAATTATTTTTTAGTTGTTGTACAAGAAGATGGTGCGCGTAAAGTAATGGTCTATCTTAATATCCCGGAATTAAAAGTAAAAAGATCTTTTCCTAATTTTTTTAAATTTATTCCATCAAATGGACATGAAAAAGTACTCGATTTTCAAGATCAGTAAGTATTATTTAAATCAAATAAAGAAATTCTTATTCAAAATATTTAGATCATTTACATTTACAATGAATATTCAAACAAAATTATATTCATTATCAATTGCACGATTACCAGGAGAAATTCAACCTGAAAAATGCTCAATTAAGGTTTTATTAAAGTTTTATTCAAGAATAAAATAAAATAAATTTTTCCTTAATTTTAGTATCAACGTGGTGGTTGTTGGATAACCTTAGTTAAATTAGAACCAATGTCTTGGATGAATAGAATTTGTGATGATCTAACTCCAGGATTAGATATACAAGAAGATGAAGATAAAAGTCCATCGCCAACAGCTCCTGTTGAAGAAATACAATTGAAGGATACTAATATGCCACCACCATTTAATCTAGTTCCTCTAGCTCCATCAATATCATCTAAACCAGCAATGAGAAAAGCGCCTGCACCACCACCACCTTCAACTAGTTAAATTATTTGCTCAGATATTTCTTAGAATCTTGACAAAACAAAACATCTCAATATCTTTATGTTTATTTCATTTTGTTTTTGTATGTGTTTATAAAACACAAATTATGTGTTACATTCTTGTTTCTTTTTAAATGTCCTAACACAAAATAAACAGATATCATAAGAAATGTTCACTTCTTATTTCGAAAAAAGAACTAATCATCACAATTATAGATTTTCAAGTAATACGGAATTTGCTGCCTAGTTATATTGTATTTTTCTATAAATAGTAACTTATATTACTAACAGAATAATGAATCATAGGATGTTTTTATTATGCGTACTGCAGATGTTTCCTGTATTGATTAGTGAAGGAAAACAGATCTATGATTCAGTGTTTGGGTCAATGCACACAGATAAATAGATATAGAAAATTAGCTAAAAGCAAACTCATATAAATGATTATATACTATGGTCAGAATAGCCACTCATGCAAAAATATACTATATGTTGATAATATTACCAGTTGACAGCTATTTAGTTGAAATTCTGCATATATCATAAGATTAATTCGCAAATTAGTTCGATTTTATTTTATTTTATTTTTCATCATTTAACGAAGTCATAACACAAGAAAAAAAAAATAGGCAAACTAGAATATTATAGACAAGAAAGGAATAATATATATACGAGAGGCAAACACATATACTAGTACATGAAATTTGTACAAAAAATATTTAAAAGAATCATTTGTTAAGCATCAATTGCTGATGCACAAATGTCACATATTTTATTTCTTCGTTTTTCACATGTACATCTATTTCGTTTTTTACCTGGTGTACCAAGTACAGTTGTTAGAACAAGATTATCACGACGAACTCGTTTTGGTGTCGTAATAATAGATGATCGTGTACGTTTTTGATTTCGTGTAGTTGAAGATATTGTTTCCAAAGGTGTCTCTTCAACATATCTTGGTGAACTAGCTACTCGTCGTGGTTGTTGTTGACGACGTCGACTACCATTCCTGGGAATAGGTATAGGTAAAAGTGGTCTATCATTAATAGGAGATGTTGATTGAATACGTTGATTTGATGGTGGTGTTGATGGAGACATTTGTGGTAATGGTGGCATTGCAAGACTTTTCTTCTTTCGCACAACAGGTGGACGAGGTGGTTTAGCATCTTTTGTTGATGGAACTGGTGCCTAAAGATTCATTTGTTAGACATCTATATATTAAGAAAAAAGATTTTAGATTTACCGATACAGTAACTGATGTCGTCATGACATCTATAACAATGACTGAAGTATCAGTAATGATCGGTTCATTATTCTTTTTTTTACGACCAGCTCGAGATTTTTTATTCAAAACAATATCTTCTTGTTTTTCTATTGGTATATCAATATCTTTTTTACCACGACGACTACTTCGAGTTGAAGCAGGTGGTTGTTGTTGTTGTTCAATTAATGGTGGTGTAATAATTGGTTCTACAGGCGATGAATTTTTTGATTTTGTATTTCGACCAACACGACGTTTTGGAGATGGAGGCTAAAATAAAAATAAATAGAAATATATTTCAAAAAAAGAGACGAATTTTATACTTGAATTGTATCTATTGGATTTTCAATAGTAATATCATTGCCTTTTCGTTTTTTTGATTTAGTTGTTGTTGTTTTCTTTGCAGATAATGGAATTATCGGTTCAGCTGGTGATAAATTAATAACTTCAATTGGTGATTTCTTTTTATTACGTGAAGGAGTACTACGAATTTTAGTTGTTAACGGTTGATTCTAAAATTCAAACATCAATGAATAAAGATTAATGAAAAATTATTGATTTACTTCTTCATTGTTAATAATAGGTTCAACAAGTTTTTTATTTCTTGTTGATTTTTTCACAGATACTGGAATATCTTCGATTTCATCTTCTTGTTTTTTACGATTACGTGAAGAAGTTGTTCTTTTCGGTTTAACATCATCTTCATCTTTTTTTTTACCTCTTCCACCTCGTGTTTTTTTCGGAATAATTTCATTTTCAATTGTTAATGGACATGGTGGTGGTGGTTCAAGTTGTGGAATAACATTATTATCAACATCTTGAATAACTTTCTTTTTCCTACCACGTAATGGTGTTGCTTGAACTTGTTTGACAGTATCTGGTATAATTTCATTTTGTTGTTCAATAATAATTTCAATATTATCTTCAATAATACTATCTTTTGTTTTAATACGACGTTTCGATTTTATTTGAATTTCTTTTTCTATAACGATATCTTCCTGTTGTTCTTTTATCGGTGATGAATTTTTCTTTTGACGTGTGACAGATTCACCACGTGGAATACGTGGAGGACGGCCAGCAGCACGATTTATATTTGCTCGTTGATGTACAATAGCTGATGGAGGAACCGCAGGAAGATCATTAGAATTTATTGTTAACACTGGTGCAACTGATGTTGATGTAGCCACTAGATAAATGAAGAAGAGAAAAAGGTTAGGACTTTCAACGATAGAAAATTCATACTAGTAAGATCGACTGGAATTATTATAGTTGGACTTGTTTGATGTACTGGAGTACTACTAAGTACCGGTGCAAATTGAGATCGACGAGCATTATTAACGGGTGATAAATGATGATCATTTATAACGTATGGTTTATCTCGAACAACATCAACATTTCTAAAATAAAGAATTTTGAATAAAAAAAAACTTCTTTTTTAATTAAAATAAATTTACGGTGATGAAGATGAATCTTGTTTTTCTAAAAATTGTTCACGATAGAAAGGTTCGTCGAAAGGCTAAACGAAAAATATTATAAAAAAAAACGATTGAAATTTAAGAAAATTTTCATACGAGATTATTTTTATTTGCTACATCTTTTAATCTAGAAAAAGAAAATATATTCTTAGAATTTTAATAAATTTTACATTTTTTCATATGCTTACAAATCAAATAAATTATTTTTAACATTTGAATCAACTTTATCAGTATTTGTTTCAATTGGTACATATGATTTATGCTGTTGAATTTTATTTAGTGTTTCTTGAAAATTATTTTGTATTTGAGAGAATTGATTTCGTAATTGATTAAGATAATCATCATTGTTATCATGAGATGAAGTCAAAACAGAGGAGAGTACTGGTACTGGCGATGATATTGTTGCCATTATTTGATGAGCAGTAAACGAAGAAAGCTGAGCTATATAAAAGAGAAGGAACAAGAGAGAAACAAGAACAAAAGAAACATGTCTTTGTTTCCCACAAACTAATATCGAATAAACCAATTAATTTTATCATGTATATTATAAGAATTTCTTTCATTAAAAAAAATCTTTTTAGTTTTTCGATGAATTTATGAAATAGTTCAATGAGGAGATTAAAAGTTTCATTCGATAGATGTCCTTCTATAATAATTAATTCGAGTGATTGTTTAAATATTAAATGAATCTTTCAAAATTATGTTTTCCTCTATCAACAGTGATTTATTTAGCGGGAGAGCAGCGTTCTACCGGAGAACGATTTTGCTCTTCCAAAATTTGCAATTTTTGTGTGTATACTATGTATTTGCCCTCCAGAAATTCGGTTTCCACTCTCCCGGAAATCGCTATCGCACTTTCGAAAAGAAATACCTAGATAAAACACTATCTATAAAAGCAATTATAATAGTCTATGAACTATATTAATAGTATTGATAGACGTATTATTATATTATATATGATAATTAAGAATTATTGTATATTTATTTTGAGTCTAGAATGTGTTGAATTACCATTAATTGTATAGCTAAAGTTAAAAGATTTATCTCTTTCATGACTAGTCTGATCACGTAACTCACTTTTATTTAAGTACCTCGACAGGAAGAACGCCACACATGCTTCTAGACAAGTCACGATGAATGCTCATCGCGGTGTGCACATCAAGGTCCATTTTTTAATACATTCGTACTTCCTATACTCATCATAGGTATGATAAATTTCTTGATTATAATTTATTTATATAACTTTATTGGTATAGAAGAAGAGATTTTCTCTTTACAAAATTTTACTGTAATTGATAGGGTAGATTAATACTGTTGCATGGTATTCTATTTGAATTATTTTGTTAGAAAACATTGAGGTTAATTGAAATTATATAACATATCACTTTATTTGTTTTTTTTTCATTAGAAAATTTAATCAGGAAAATAAGTCTTGAATTTTACTGAATAATATAGAATAATTCTATATATAACGTTATTAAATAACGGATAAACCAGATAAAACCAACTACTTTTGTTTGCTCTGCTTTACAAATTTAATTATAATCTCAAGATTCCGTTCTAAGGTCATTTGACAGCAGAGAGAGACTTTTTTTTCTCTGTCTACAAATCTGAGTACTTTATTTTTGAAATAAGTTTTCCTTATCGGTATTAAATCCTCTCAATACCATCGAAGTGCGATAAATAGAAATAATAATTGTTTTTTTTAATTACAATTTTCATTGAAAATTCAGCTATGCTACAAAACATCTCCATAAAATTCTATTTCTTTTAATGTATATTTCACTATTTTCAAGAAAAGATTTCGAAATGAAAACGTCGGAAGGAGTCATACTTTGTCAGATGAATCTCATTGTTATTCTTAATACAACATAGGCTTAGCATTTTCGTTATCTAATTTAACACTTTTATAATTACTTTTATTATTAAACTTCTCATTCGATGACATGATAATCAATTCCTTATAGAAGTAATATGACCGCTGAGAACATGACTTTCCAGAGGGCATATAGCTACGCTGTGAGATGCCTGTTCAAAATACTATTTTTCTCTTGAACTGCAGTAATAGAAGCCTTGCAAAGATCATAAAAGAATAGGGCACAACTATTCTCTCGTTTCTGTTCCTAGCTACTTGACGAGTATAGGCTAACACAAATCGACATGCATTTACGATAGTTTTAATTCTACTTAGTACAACTATAACAAAATAGTGTGGTAATTAGTAAATAATAAACTAATCTAATTGCTTGTCATGTTATCGAGCAATATATATTGAGTTATTAAAAAATTTCTTGTGACAATCGTGTTTACAAAATTTTATTGCAATTATTTTAACAAATAATAAAATTTGATTAGAAATCATAACGAATTATGTATATCATATTATTAATTGATTTGAATCAATGATGACTACTTCATTTATTAATTTCCTTGATCATAAGTTTGTATGACATTTCAAACAATAAACTCGCATTGTTTTTTTTCTTTTGTTATGAATATTTTACTTATCTATTCAAATAGATGAAAATCATAAGTAATTTAAATAATATATAAGAATGAAACGAAAAACAAAATAATACACGATTCAATAAAAAAAAAATATTAAATATCGTCAATATTTAATATTTCTAGCATGTTATTATTGACTAACTTGTTAAAATAACATTCGGTACTACTGAGAATTAATGTGAACAATCAAATACCCTTGCGGCTCACAAAATGTGCCGTTGTTTTCCGATTAATGTTTAATAATATTACAATCAACAAGAAGTCTACTAAACGTAATTATATATATATAGCATAGATTTTTATTTTCTAATAAATAAAAATATACAATCATACCTAATTCTTTTATAATTCTATGGAAAAAAAAGGCATATTAATCAATCATAAGTTAAATTAAGATGATGAATAACTATATTAATTATACATGCATGTCAAATGTTATAATATAATCAATAATCTACAACCATGGAAATTAAAGTATTGTATTTATTAACAAGAACAATGTTATATTTTCTATGAAAGAATGTTATTTAATCAAATTGAAGTTTTTTTTTAACAAAAAAGACTATGCTTGAATAAACAAAAAACAACAAATTGTAGTTTATAAATAAACTATTGATGACTGTTATTGGATAGAATTACCTTGGTTATTACGTCCTTTTTCTCTTGTTACTTTGTTATTTATTATTAGACGTTGAACTGCAAACGAGAGAAAAAGAAAACATGATTTCAAGGTTGTATTTCATTTATTTTACATCATATTTTTGTCGATTTGACGTGTTTTCATAGTTCTCTCTTCTATGCATATAATAAATTATAGAAAAAAAGAAATTGGAAAATTAGTAGAAGAGAAAAACTAGTAGATCTTATTTTGCTAATATGAACTGCGAAATATATGATCTCATAATGTTATTAATGTATTAATATTAGTATCTTTTATAAATCTAATAAAGCAATTCAATGAACGATATAAATTCTAAAGTTCACATATATCTACTTAGAATTTAATCGACTCTTCTGTAGGCGACAAAAAAAGAAGCGATAAGAAGAAACTAATATTTATTCGTCCTTATGAGTTCCTGGTAAAGAAGTTCTTAAAACGATATGTTTATGAGAAAGAGCGAACGAGAGAGAAAGAAGAAGAAGAAGAAAAAAAAAGATCAGTCGATTTTACTTTTACTCCTATATATAAGTGACGTCTTTTTCCTGTAGAGAAAGCCACTTTAGTATTCTTATTCTTGCGTCAAATTATTTTTAGTAAAAGCAAAAATGATAAAACACGCATCAACCGTCAAAATTCTTATCCTGTATTATTTTCTCTTTGCGTTCTTTGAATAAAAAAAGAAAAATACGCACAAACGAAGATTTTCTGTAACGTCACATAAATTGTTTCCTTTTTCATTATCTTCCATGGGCATGCTTCTCAGTATCTACCTGTATGGGAATACGTCATTCTCTCCTACGGTGCATATGTCATTTTTTTCCCGTTCCGAGTAATAACCACTACTGCTCATACTTTCTTCTTCTTCTTCTGCTTTTTTTCATCTAATAGAATCATCTAATACAGTATTGTATGCTCTTACGAGCGTGAGCTGATGGAAGATAGAGCGGTAGACGTCCGTTTGTTAAATAATAATATTCAGATTTTCTTTTCGTCTATTTCTGTACGAATAAGAAAAAAATATGACAGATTTCTATTAAGAACCATATTGACATAGACATCAGAAACAGAATCGGATATTAAATAAAAAGATATATACAACGGACAGAAAAAATAATGACATTCTCTTTTATATGGATGGATGTTCAATTAGAGAAAAAACAAGCTCGAGAAACAGAAAAACACGATGTAAATAAGTTTATTATAGATATTGTATAAGAATATTTTGTTTTGTTGACATGTATATAAATAGTGAATGGTGAATTGTTATCTATTGCTTGTCATCACGCATTCATTATTCTAGATTAACTCGATTCAATGGCAACAACTGTTAGTGAAAATCAACGACATCGTAAAAAAGAAAATTTTTTAAGACAATTTCGCGATGAACAAAGTAAAGAATTTAAACAATTAACTGCAATACAATTTATGGAAATTTGGAGTCATTATGATACGGATGGTATTGATCAACGTTTCAAGATATATTTTTTTCCCTAGACATTCTTTTTATGTATTCCATTAGGTAATGGTTTCATTGAAGGACATGAATTAGATAATCTTCTTCGTGAGCTTGCAGCATCTGTTAATCTAAGTGATACAGGTCCTGAAGTGAGTTAATATTTAGTTTACTATAAATATTTATTTTGTTCTTTTTTTCTCATTATTTTCATAGGTGATATCAGATAGTGTTTTACGGGAACTAAAAGAATGTTTTTTAGAAGCTTATGATGAAAATGCAGATGGTCGGATTGAAATTGGAGAAGTTTGTTTTTTAGTTTAACAAAAAAAAAGTTTTTTTTTATTATTATCTATATTTAGTTAGCAGAAATATTACCTACAGAAGAAAATTTTCTCCTACTTTTTCGTAAAGATAATCCACTTGATTCAAGTGTTGATTTTATGAAAGTATGGAAACAATTCGATACAGATTGTTCAGGTTATATTGAAGCTGATGAATTAAAACAATTTATTAAAACACTTTTAAATAGACGGCAAGGAAATAAAATAACTGAAGAGAAATTAATTGAATATACAGATACAATTGTAAGTAAAAAAACAAGTTTATTTGTCGCTTTTTTAAATATTTATACTTCTATAGTTACATATTTTTGATGCAAATGGTGACGGAAAATTACAATTTAGTGAAATGACGAAGTAGGATATAGAAAAAAAAAGAAAGAAAAGATATCTTATTTCCAAATATAATTATAGACTTTTACCTGTAAAAGAAAATTTCTTGTTACGCCCTATTTTTAAGGTAATTTCTATTAATATTACGGTTTCTTTAGTAAACAAAAGAAGTGTTAATTTTTAGGGTTGTTCATTATTAACATCACAAGATCTTGATAAAGTGTTTCAACTTTATGATAAAGTAAGATTTTTTTTTAAATGAATAACATAATTTTAATTAATTTAAACACAAAAAAGGATGGAAATAATATTATAGAAGAAGAAGAATTAGATGGTTTTGTCAAAGATCTTATGGATCTTGTTAGAAAAGTATAACCAAAAACTTTTTTTGATTATATATTATTATTCTTTGATTGATCTTTTTCAGGATTATGATAATGATGATTTACAACAATTCAAACGATCATTATTAAATGGGTGCGATATTAATCGAGATAAAAAGCTTAGCAAACCTGAACTTAAAATGGTTCTATTAGCTTTAAGTCAATCGCCTGATGCTTAAACTTATTTTATTATTCTTATTCTTCAAAACGATATTTTTTCTTTTGTTTATGAATTTTTTTGGCTTTTTTTATATTATCATAGTTTGATTGTATCTAACATGAAGTATAAGGATTTTATTTATTTTAAAACTATACATATATAAGTACAAAAAAAAAGATTATTCAGTGAAAATAAATCTTATTATAAATAAAGAAAACAACAAAAAAAAAACTCAAGACTATAAATACAGTCAATACATCTTCATTTTTTTGTTGTATGTTATATTCGAAAGGAAAGCTTATATATTATACACAGCTGTCTTACAATAGAATTTTTTTCCTTCGATTATTTAGTCAAGTTTGTCGTAAAAGTAAGAAGTGCAATACTTATTTGATGAGTACTCTAAAAAAATGAAGTACTCTTCTAGTTCCGCTTATCTTATAAAAGACAAAAAAAAAAGAAGAGAAAGAAATGTAACTATATTATAACATCGTTTATTACATATTTCTATACTTAACAATAAAACAATAGCATTGTAAGACATTCGATCAGAGTACAACTCATTTTATTAATTAGAAAAAAGATATAGTTAATAAGATTTATCAGATAAAATATTTTAAATTGAACATAATTAAGTATTTACAAAATCTCAAAATAATTGAAATAAATTGATCGCTAAATCTATACATAAACTAATGACTCAGAAAATATCGATAATATAATTGTCATACTTCAGATTAATCACTTATATCTTTTCCTTTTGTTCATTTATCAACATGAGTCTTTTTCAGCATATTCAATAGAATGTCTGATCTTTCTTTCTTTTTTTTTGATTACATAAGTTTTATTTTTATAATATATGAAAAGTTATGTTTAATCAAAAGAATAAATAAATAAAAATAACTTAAAGAAAAGAAAAATATTTTAGCATTTGTTCTCTCTCTGTGTTTGTACGTATATCGTACTCATGCAAAACGAATAGATACATGTACGCTTGCACAGCTGTGTACGTTCGCACATCGTCTTCATTCATATCTTGTCTATCTATGTCGAGGGATGAAGCTAATTGTTATTGCTTACTATCCTAACAACAGTCACTTTTATTTCTTTTCTCTCAATCTTTTCATACTCTCTTACATCAACAACAGACGGATATCCGACTGACGACATGTTGTTTCCTCCTTATTGTGGATAATTGTGCAGAAGAGAACATATATATATACACACACATCTCGTTGGAATAACAACAATTGATATTTATCCTTTTGTTTATTTTGACTTTTGTGTTGGTACAAACGAGAAAGCGATTCATCAAAACATACATATATAAAAGAGAGAAGCAGCAGTCTAATATATATGATTAACAACGAACAGATACTCATGTGTATATACAAGGGTATTATCATCATCAGAAACAGATGAAAATCTTTCAACACAATGATTGGTGACAAGAACTCTATTCTTTTTTATTTATGATGATACAGATGGGCATATCTCAAAAAAAAAAAATATTGATTATCGTTTCTTTTTTTTTCTTCTCTCTGTTTACAAGAAGTAAACATAAGAACTATCGACTATTTGATTTACTTGAGAATAATGATTCGTGTTATACATTAATTTATTGCTTTCATGACAAAAAAAGAGTTGTAAAACTAGACAAGAACATATTTCTTATCAGTTTACATCTGACCGATCATTTTTCTTGTTGAGATTGAGTTTTTTTTTCCATTGGTCACAATGTTATTATTATAATATATATGTATGTATATATATATATATAAATATATATATAAAAAGAAAACAAACGGGCAAACATGCTCTCACTGACTAGTCGTCAAATATAGAATAAACTGGCACATAGATACAAAAATGAAACGAAAAAGAAGAAAAAAAAGAATTAAGAAGCAAAATCATACACGAAATGTTTCTCGATTAGTTATCGTTAATACAGAATTAATATTTGGTGTTGCTGTTGTTGTTGATGTTGTTTTAGTATTTCCAATAAGATTATCAATTGTAAATGAATTTTTTATTTTTTGATTATGATGCATTATTGGTAGAATTGTTGTTGGTGGTGGTGGAGGAAGTATTGGTAATGGTGGAGGTAATAAAGGAAAACATCGTTTTGATGGTGATGATGTTGGAATAAATGGATATGGTATTGGAGGAAATGATGGTGGTGGTGCTGCTGATGGCATTGAACCATGATGAAAACATGCTGAATGATGATGGTGATGATGATGATGTTGATTCATACGTTTAAAACGTTTACGACGACGTAAAAATGAACCATTATCAAACATATTTTCACTAGCAGGATCTAATGTCCAATAATTTCCTTTTCCTAAAATTCAAATTACTTTCATAGTAGCTATGATTAGAATTTAGTTAAACAAAATATCTACCTGGATTGCCTGGTGAACGTGGAATTTTAAGAAAACAATCATTTAAACTTAAATTATGACGTATTGAATTTTGCCAAGCTGGAAAACGTTCTTTATAATATGGAAAACGATTCATAATAAATTCACATATACCACTTAATGTTAAACGTCGTGATGGAGATTGTAATATAGCCATTGTTATTAATGCTATATAAGAATAAGGTGGTTTAACAATATGTTGTTTTGTTGATAAAGATTTTTTTGTGGAATTATTATTATTATGTTCATCTTCAATTTCACCACATAATGATGATATTGGTGAATGTGGACTTGAATCAATTGAATGATTTGGTGAAGAAGATGATGTTGATGATGACGATGTATGATGAGATGAATCAATACATAAACTACTATTACCATTAAGGCTTACAACATCAACAAGTAATTCATCATCAATGGATGGTGTGGTTGTTTCAATTTTATTTGTCATTGGTTAAAATTTTGTCTCTTTCGGTTTTTTTTAGAGGAATGTTATTTAGAAAAAAATTTGACAATTAAAAAAGAAAAAAGGGCATCGATAAAGAAAAGAAAAATATATACGTAAGCGCAAGCAAACAACTGCCGAGTGACGATTATAAATATATATATATGTATGTAAAAGATCTTTTTTTTCCCAAAAGTGTCTTATGTTATTCTATGATTGTTATGAGAAAAGTTTTCTCTCCCTCTCTCTCTCTCTCGTTCTACTTCTCTTTCTCTTTTTCTCACCTTCACAGACGACTGATCTGCTTGGCTATTTCCGATGGGGTAATGCTGACTGTTTGCTGCTCATTTCCGTTCGTTGTCGTCATTTCAATAGCGCGCGCGCGCAAGAGAGAGAGATCGATTTACGATCGGCAATGAGAGAAAGAGAGAAAAAGAAAAAATATTATCGTAACGGCCAATCCCATCATCTCTCTCATGTATGTATGTGTAGATTGACATGTGAAAGTATTCTTTCTGCGAACATACACACACATAAACAGAACCAATCAACAACCGAAGAAAATGCTATCGAAACGAACGCGAGTGTGCAATAAAAAAAACGATAGAGAGACTGTGTCATTCTTGCGTTTTTTCTTTCTTTCTCGCTTTCTCTTATTGTAGGCGAACAAACACTAAGTAAATATTTTGAGTATTCATGCAAAAGATCTTCTCGTTTTTTCAATTATAATCATCGTCACTATACTATCGAATAGTAATAGTGTAAAGAAGAAGAAGAAAAAAAAGAAAGAAAATCAACAGACATTTTCTATTAGTATATATTGCAACAAATAAAAAGAAATAAAGTGTATATGTATAGTAACAACCCTAAGGCTGTTTCTTCAATAGATGCAGGTGATGAGGTGATAATATGACCTTATCGATGTCTATATGTATATATAAATATATATATATATAAATGTATATGTTGATATTGTGATGCCGATGAAGAGCCACTCAGATGTTATCGACAAAACAAGAAAAGAAACGATAGCCGACTGTATATTCATATGTCTTTAACTTCAACTTATAATTTTGTATTTAATTTGAAGTCTATTGTCAACGATGTTAAAATACTTGTCATGTATATATATATATATACTTCTTGAATGAATAAACTAGAAATTAACCTTTTTTCTTCTTATAAAAAAAAGTATCATTTTAATATTTCAAATATTCAATTGATAAGATATATTTTCAACACAGATTGAATAGATCATTGACATCTTATCCAATATTGTTAATTGAGAAAATACATTATATAAATACTTATATATATTATATTGTTCTATTCATATAAATCAATCGATTAATATCAGGTGTGTATTTATTTTGTAACTTTCTATATACTATTTTTTCTTCTTCTGTACTTGACGTATTCATATAAAACAATCTCGTGTTATGTTATTGTCCAATAGAACAAATCAAAAACTCAATTATGCCATTCGTGCGTAAGAGACAAGCTCATTCTTGTCATTATTGTCATTTTCTTTCTTTTTTTTCGATTAGTTGACTAGTTGTTGCTGATCATATTAATCTGTTGTCGGCAATCTGTCTGCCTATAAGCGCATGAACAGGTAGTTCTATATAATGTTGTGCCGGAAATGTTGTGCTATTCACACATATAACTATCGCTTTGACTAAGAGAGAGAGAGAGAGAGAGAAGCAGTAAACACTCAAGAAACAGAATCGTTTTGAAGTGGAAAATGGAGTCTCTCTTTCTATACATCGGCAAAGAAAAAGAAATCAATCTATATTGGATCTTGCTCTCGCTTTCTCTTTAGATGAAGTGATGAATATGGTCACTTATTTCCTTTTTCTATAACGGATGGATGGGTTATTACAAAAAAAAGAAAAGAAAAGCTCAATAGAGAACCGGATGTCCGTCATACAAACGTTAGGAGGGCGTTTAGTTAAAGAAATTGATTCTCACCAGGTATTTCCTATTTTTCATTCAAAGGTGTTCTTTTCAAATGAACAAAATAACAACACTTTTTCTTCTTCTTTTCTTCTTCTACTTCTTTGTTTTATATTCATCGATTAAAAAAAAGTCACTAGATACTTATATTAGTATATTAGTAGTCAACTGGAAAAACGCCATATGACAATGAAAAAAAAAGATAATTGAACATGTAAAAGAAAGTCGCGTGCGACCGATGCCATTTGTTAAAGATGTTTTTTATGTATGTAAGATGATCTGTTTTCTATATATGTTCATCATCATCATCTCTTTTTCTCTTTTCTTATTATTGTTTTTTTTGACTATGTCGGACAACTACAAACGTCTTATACCTTATTCTCATGATTATAATTGAATTTCCGTATAGAAGAAGCCAATAGAACAAATGAGATAAGATTATATATATATATATATATCTAGGCACATACATTTACTCATTTTTCTTCTTTTTCTCAGATGCGAGAAAGAGGTTGTAAAACTCTTCAATAAAGACAGTCTATTATATATACAACGATGACTTGTATACAAACAATATATTTTTTAATCATAAGATGAAGGTAGATAGAGATATTACAGAATGCCGACCTTTTTTTCTCTCTAATTCTATCATTGAAATAAACATATAATACTTTAATTTTGATTTATATAAAAAAAAAACGATGCCGACAAGATGGAATTCAATTATTAATACTTTTGATGATTATCTATAGTTGGATATTAATTGGAACAACTAATGAGAATGAAGAGTTATCACCTTATACATATGTGTTTAGTATCGATATTTAGGTGGAGCAACTGTCTCCTATCTTCTTTTCACTCCGGATGTTATCGATCTCATGTATGCACCATTTGTCTATATAGATATATGTATGTCATGTATACAGTACTGATAACTTATGATACACTAATTGCAAATTGATTTTGCTAATAATCATCAAGAGGCATGTTGAATCTCTCATACAAATTTTTTTTTGTGTCTCGGTTTTATAAATAAATGAGATGAAAATAAACAGACGTTGTTGTTGAAAAAAATTCTCTTAGAAGAGAAAAGGTCATTGTGATTTGATATGTAAAATTAATCAATGAATGAAGATAAATTCTTGATTGAATGTTTATTTCACAATAGAAATAACAGATACAATAATATTTATTGATTGCATGAAATCTTTTATAATTGCTCTTAAATATGTTTAATTGAATATATATTCTATGGTATTGTTTTCATATCGGATAAATTCTTTATCTTCTGATTGGTATAAATTTTTATCATTTCTCTTTCAGCTATTTTCATCAGTTCAATGTAATGGAAAATCAACTGAATTTGTTGATAAGTGATATATTCATCTTCATAAATATCATAAGACGTCAGAACAAAAAATTTTTTAAATTAATGTTTATTCAACGGGATCATTTTTTCTCGTCCACTTCTTAAAAAATTATTTTCATTATGATCACTGTCATCAGTGCTAATCGTTTTATTATATATTTCCTATATGGTATACAACGGCCGACACAAAAGTAGAAAAAAAAATGAAACAAAAAAAAAAACAGATTTAACAAAACTGTTCTATATGGTTATTTTAGCATTCATTTAATCTCCTAAAAACCCATTCCACCCATTCCTCCCATTCCACCCATGCCGCCACCCACTAAAATATAAGAAGAAAATAATTTTAAATAAATCATATAATAGATTATTTTATGGATACGTACTGCCTCCCATAGCTGGTGCAGCGCTTTCAGGTTTAGCTGCTTCAACAACAACACATTCTGCTGTTGTTAATAATGAAGCAACACCACTGGCATCTTGTAATGCAGATCGAACAACTTTAGTTGGATCAATGATACCAGCTTTAACCATATCAACAAATTCATCTCGTTGAGCATCATAACCAATTTCGAAGGGTGACATAAGAATTTTTTCTACAATAACACTACCATCTTTTCCAGCATTCTTAGCAATGGTTGAACATGGCATACGAAGAGCTCTTCGTACTATTTCAATACCAATTTTTTGATCTTCATTTGTAGCACCGGCATGATTTTCCAATACTTTAAGACATCTTAAAAGAGCAACACCTCCACCGGGTACAATACCTTCTTCAACAGCAGCACGTGTGGCATTTAAAGCATCAGTAATACGATCTTTCTTTTCATTAACTTCAACTTCACTACCACCGCCAACTTTTAATACAGCAATACCATTTGATAATTTTGCTAAACGTTCTTGTAATTTTTCTTTTTCATATTCAGAATTAGTTTCAGAGATTTCTTCGGTAATTGCATTAACACGTTGTTCTATAGCTGCTGATTCACCTTTACCACGCATTAACAATGTATCATCTTTTGTAACAATAACTTCACCAACACGGCCAAAATCTTTTAATGTGATTTCATGCATTTTATTTAAATTAGCGTCATCACCAAATACAGTGCCACCACAAGCAATAGCAACATCACGTAAAATATTTTTACGATTATCACCAAAACCGGGTGCTTTAATGGCACAGATTTGAAGGCCAACTTTAAGTCTGTAAATAAAAAATCATGAGTATCTATCAATCAATTTCTCTTCTGTTCATACCTATTAAGAACAAGAGTAGTAAGTGCTTCACCATCAATATCTTCAGCAATAATAAGTAATGGTTTACGTTGACTATTAGCTAATTCCAAAGCTGGAATAAGTTCTTGAACGGATGAGATTTTTTTTTCGCTTATTAAAAGAAAAGCATCTTGAAATTCACATTTAGCACCTTTGGTTGAATTTATAAAGTAAGGTGAAATATAACCACGATCAAATTTCATTCCTTCAATTACTTCAAGTTCATCTATTAATGTTTTACCATCTTTAACAGTAATAACACCATTTTTGCCAACTTTTTTCATTGCATTCGAAATAATATCACCAATAGATACATCACCATTAGCTGATATAGTTGCAACTTGTGCGATTTCTTCAGGTGTTGTTACAGTTTTTGACATTCGTTTAAGTTCATTAATAACTGCTGTTACAGCAAGCATAATACCACGACGAACTTCAATTGGATTAGCACCACGTGAAATTTTATCGAAACCTTCTTTAGCGATAGCTCGAGCAAGAACTGTTGCAGCAGTTGTACCATCACCTATTATAAAAGAAATATATTATTTTATTTTCGATTATTTATATATTTATTCATACCGGCTTCTTCATTCGTATTGTTTGCAACATCTTGGACAAGTTTAGCACCAATATTTTGAAATTTATCTTTTAATTCAATACCTTTGGCAACTGTAACACCATCTTTAGTTATTTTTGGTGCACCCCAACTTTGCTCAAGAATAACATTTCGTCCCTAAAACATCCAAAAATTTTCTTATATTTATTTTCAAAACAAAATTTTAAACCGACCTTAGGACCCATAGTAACAGCGACGGCATCGGCAAGAATGTCAACACCTTGTAACATAAGTACTCGAGCATCCGAGCCAAATTTAATTTCTTTAGCTAATGAACGACGTACGACATGTTGAACAAGTGGTGCTGTTGTTCGTGAAATTGTTTTAGCAAAACGATACATTATTAATGAATACTAAAGATAAAAAAATATAGTAAATAATGTAAGAGTAATAGTAAAAGAAAAAGAAATTAGATATGAGTTCTAAATGGATAAGAAGCTGATGCAATCTTTTGTTTATTCACCTCCTTATAGTTAGCAAACCTCCTTCACATCATTGGATAAAACGTAACTTCCAATGAGAAAAAGCGAACAAATGTTACGATGAGGTTAGTTACATATATTCTCGATTATTCTCGTACGATAAAATAAATCATCTTGTACTCTATCGTAAATGGTAAGAATGATAAGAATAATAAAAACAAACAAAAATTCAATTTTTTTTATTATTATTAGGCATCAGGAGCAATAAAACGTATTATCCCTTTATTTGACCGTGTACTTGTTGAACGTTTCGCTGCTGAAACATTAACTAAAGGTGGTTTACATCTCCCAGAAAAAGCATTTGGAAAAGTACTTAATGCAACCGTAGTTGCTGTTGGTAAAGGTCTTAGACAAAAAGTAAAAAATAGTTGATTTTTATATAAATGATTTGATTTTTGTTTTTGTTAAAGGATGGTACTCAAGCTCCATTAAGTGTTCAAGCCGGTGACAAAGTTTTATTACCAGAATATGGTGGCACTAAAGTCACAATAGAAAAGAAAGAATATTTCATCTTTAAAGAAGCTGATATTCTTGGTAAATGGGAATAATAGTTTATTTTGTTGTGTTTTTTTTGTTTGAATGACTTATCCCCGTTTTTGTATTTTCCTATGTGTAGGCAAATGAACTGTTTCTCTTTTGCTCTTCTTTCATAGTTTTTTTTGCTATTAATAAAATACAAAAAAAGTCAAAACATACATTATATTTGATAACATAATACAAAAAAAAATCTTTCTCTTCAGAACAAAAAAATAATTAGTTCAATACAATGGAAATAGTAAGCATTGAATTTTTCTATAATGTAATTTTACATTAAATTTTTATCACAGAATACGAGTTCAACTACAGAAGATAATTCTCTACAAATAACGAATAATGTATCTGTAAGTGAAATTTGATTTTCATGAAGATAATAGAGAATGTATGATTAGTAGAATTCAAATCAACTTTGGTGTAATATATGTCAACGACAATTCCGTTCTACAAGTGCATTATATCAACATGGAAAACGTTTATCACATTTAAAACGAGCTATGAAAATTTCATCATCTCGTTGTACAACAATAACAAATGGAAAGATTACAAGTTGTATACAAAGAAGTAAACCTCTATATACTCCAATACCAATTATTCGTATACCATCACCTCCTAATCCTTCTTCTTCTCTATCACAAATTGAAACAAATCCAACAAATCAAATTATTATCCGTAAAAAACGACATGCAGAATCTAATACTATCAGGTAAATATAAATGAATACATCTTTAGTAATATTATCATCATTTTATAAAAGTTATAAATGTGATTTATGTGGTTGTCGATGTTGGTCTATACGCAATATGCATCGTCATATACGTCTTCATGCAGATGTTCGTCCTTATACTTGTAATATATGTCAATTAAAATTTAAATCACACAGTAATTTAATGAAACATTTTAAAACTAGTCGACATCAACAGAAAAAAGAAAATAATGAGAAAAATTGGTCAATTGATTCACAAGCCGTACAAGAACAAAGTAAATATAAATTTTTTTCAAAGAAACCAATGATTACGAATATATTTTTTTCTCATAGATAAATTAATTAATCAAATTTTAATCATTGATGATAATGAACCCGAAGAAAAATTAGATGCAATTTCTAATGAATCCTCCTCTTCCATAGATGGTATGTAGTATTAATATAAATTTAAATATGAAATAAATATTTTTATTTTTTTTTAAGAATCAAATAATTTACTTGAAGATTTACATATACCTGATAGTCGTTTAATTGATGGTGATGCTGCTGAACTTGCTCTAATCGATCCAAATACATTTGAAGAATTACATAAAGCAGCTGAATGTTTACTTAATTTACAAGGTGTTTTCTATTTTGGTGAAGATGAAAATGGAACTGAAAGATCCAATTCTCTTCTAACAACTTAATTGTATTTTATATTGTTTTGTATTTTATAAAAAAAAATAAATAAATAAATAAAATATTTTATTTTTATTAATTTAAATAAGATCCTTTATTGAAGATGGTACCACGAATTATAATATCAGTTAGTAAAATAGTTTTGCTATAAAAATTATATTTATATTATATCTATTCTCTCCAGCCTCGTTTACGTAGTGCATTCAAAGCATGTATTGCTGGAGGTTTCGTATTTGTTGGTGCAAATATTTATTTCGGTAGTGAACGTTTCTATGAAGATATAATTATGCCAACATTAAGATTTATTGATCCTGAAACAGTACATCGTTTATCAATTCAAATGGCAAAACATGGATTTGTTCCTCGAATGAAATCTATTGATGATCCAATTCTAGTAAGAGAAGATGTGACCTCAAATTTTCGATTTCTGATATTACTATCTAATTTAATATATTATTATAGCATACAACTGTTTGGAATCATGAATTCAAAAATCCAATTGGTCTTGCAGCTGGTTTTGATAAGAATGGTGAAGCAATTGATGGTTTAACTAAATTTGGATTTGGTTTTATTGAAATCGGTATATTTTGACATATGTCTATATGAAATAAGTTTTTTCTATTCAGGAACAATCACACCTAAACCACAACCTGGTAATGAAAAACCTCGAGTATTTCGTCTTACAGAAGATCGAGCAGTAATAAATCGGTTAGCTTAAAACAAAATAGAATATTCTCTTATGATAACTTTTTCTTCTTCAAGTTATGGATTTAATAATGATGGTTATGAAGCAGTTCGTGCTCGTCTTATTGATTATCGTCAACATTCAGATACTAATAAAAATAGTAAGTATTTCAAATTCATTCATTATTTTCTATACGTATATATATATATCAGAAAAATGAAAATATTAAGGAAAATATCCGAGAGAATGTTCAAGTGTTGCTGATTGTTGTTGTTGTTGACGTTGTTGTTCTTCTCCGTATAGATGAACTCCTTGATCTGTATGACGTAAATATTGTCTATAATCAACGGGTAATTCTGTATCAGCAACTGTAAATGAAGCAACACGTCGTGGTTTTACTGATGATGATGAACAAGAAGATTTTAATAAACGTTGAGAAGGATAAGAAGTTGTTGGTGTAAATGGTAGTACTTTAATTCCACCCATTGCAGCTGGAATTGGTTTTATTTGTTGAGATTGATAGATAACACGAGGTATTTGACATGATGGAATATGATGATCATCATCCATAGTTTCAATATGAAGTGTTTGATCGTTTTCATTTATAAAAGATTTTCTATAGTAGAACAAACAAAAAAAGAGAATACTTGTTTTTAATTATTATCTTAATAAGAAATCTTACGTTTGATTTTTTTGTAATTGTTTAACTTGTGATAAAAGATTTCGATCATGATTATCTTCATTTAAACAAGGTGTTGAACGATAATGCAAATGAATATTATTATTATTATTATTATTATTTTGATTTCCATTTGGTTTTGATGAAAAATCCAAATTAAGAAAACCATTTAATATATGTCCATTTGTTGCACGAAAAAATATATTTTCATTACTATCAGATGAACGCATTGCTGCTGGAACATTTTCACGTAATAATTTTGGAACATAATTTCCAATATCACCATAACGATTTAGTACAATTTGTGGTCGTAATAAATGACATTCGAGTATCGATGGTGTTGGCTGTTGTTCGACATTAGTTGTCGTTCGTGAAATAACAGGAGTATTATTTGCTGAAAGTATTGTCGGTAATGGATTCGAATTTATTACTAATGAACGTTTTTTATTATTATGATGAAATTGATAACGTTTTTTATTCATTGTATGATCATTATGACCATTTAATAATGATGGTTGATCGAATGAAGCATGACGTTTTATAGGAGCTTGATAAGAATTTGTATCGATTGTTTTAAGTTTTTCTGCAACAACAATATTCATAAGATCATTAACAACTTCATCAGATTCATCAATAATTAATGATGACGATGAAGATGATGCTTTGATAAAATGACGTTGTTGTTGTTGAGATTGTTTGGTTGATAGTGTACGTATTGGTGTTGAACATGAAGATGACATACGATGAGGATCTTTATCTATATGTAATACTTGTGATATATCTTGATTATTAGTTAATTGATATGACGATGATGATAAAGGATTCGTAAGACCATTTGATGTTAAACGATATTGCTAGAGAATAAAAAAAGAAAATAATGAATATAGTAGAATATAGATGTATAACATACCATTCTATCGGCTCCTGTTTGAATATCTGCTTGTTGATGTTCCATAGCTGAAATAGGTCTATCTCGATCAAGATATTTTGTTCGTCTTTCAATTGTTGTATCTTTATCATTTTCATGAACACGTAGTAGTGTTGCTGACGAGGTTGGTAATGCAGGACTCACGGTTCGTTTAATAACTAATTTACGTATCATATCGCATAATTCAAATGCAACCGATTCACGACGTACAGCAAATACATGACAATCAAGTAGAGAACATGTACCACCAGCACCTGTTTTTCTCATAACAAATAATACAAGTGGTGGATGACATGATGATGATGGTGTTGATAATAAATGATATTGAGATTTATCAATCGTAGAATAAAGAGAACGAAAACGTTCTTGATGTTCACAACCTATACAAAAAAAAAAATTTAAAATTTTGCAATTAATAAAGTTTACAAAAGATTTAGTAAGACAAGACAGAATTACGATCAATCGAATTGTGTAATAATAACGATCGATCAAATTGATTGATCGATAAATAAATATATGTATTCTTCCGTGAACAAATAGAACCAGTCCTACTCGGTCAATCACTCGTTCTATTGACAATCTAGCTGTATTAAATATAATGATGACATTCAAACAGACAACATAGAGAATTTCTGACGAAGAAAAAAAGAAATTTGTATCAGATGGTTTTCTTTTCTCGTAAACTCTTATTACAAGCTGTTGTAACTCATAATTAGTAAAAAGAAATCTAAACAGCTGGTGTATATTACTACTTACCAATTGGTAAAAAAGCAGCGCGTATACGTTTATGTTGATGATTTTCGATATGATTAAACATTACATATAATTCTAATGCTTGTATATCAACAATTGCTTCTAATGTTGAATAAATTAATGAACGTTTTCCTTTCGATGCTGCATCAGGTTCAAATATTAATATATCACGATCAGATATAATAATACGACGTTCATCATGATAACGTTCACGTCGTTGACGATAATAGGGTATATATAATTCTCGTAAAGGTTTTTGAAATGATGTTAAATTTGGTGGAGATTTTCCTAATGGTATTGAACCCAAATAAGGTAATTGTAATGAATAGGCACTTGAAGATGACATATTGTTGTTAGAAAAAGATGAAATTCGATTTGGTACAACTAAATGTGACAATGATGACATTGCTAGACGTATTTGTCAATAAACTCTGATGTATACATACGTGTGTGAACCTTGTCTATGTGTAAGAGTACAGGATGCAGATTAGGCAGACGGTCATATGTTGATTAGAATTTTAAAGAATAAGAAAAAAAAAGAAGAAGAACAAGAGAGAGAGAGAGAGCAAGAAAGAAATTGACCATTGACTGTATATTTGTTGAATAGAAAAAAAAAGAAGAAGACAAGAAGAATGAAAGAAAAAAAAAAGAAAAAATCCGATCAAGTGTGGATGTGACTAGAATGCTGAACCACGGATCAGATATGTAGTAATTTAAACACGCAGAAGGGGAAAAAAATCGAAGTGATATACATGCGGACGAATGAATGATGCGACTCAGTTAATACTTATGCACATATATCGTATAGAAAATTTGAACGAAGATTAAGTCGGACATTCTATTGCTTGCTTGTTGTCTGATGACGAACATACTAACACGAACGAATTAATCGAGTGTAAGCATAAAAAGTAATAAGGCCTTGAAAGATAAAGAATGAAATATTGACAAAATTTCTTTTTTTAACAAACTAGAAAGTCTAATTTACTATGGATTAATCACCTTTTTCTCATTTTATACTCGATCATACTGTTTTGTTTTATCTTCTTATCTACTATAGATATATTAATTGGTGTTAATATTGGAAGAAATAAAAATACAACAACAGATGTTGAACAAGATTATACATTAGGTATAGAACAATTCGGATGTTTAGCTGATTATCTTGTTATTAATGTTTCAAGTCCAAATACACCAGGTTTACGTAATTTACAAAGTGAAAATGAATTAAAAAGTCTTCTAACATCAATACGTAAAGCTTGTGATAAAATTTCATGTCAAAATCAAACAAGAAATAAACCATTAGTTTTACTTAAAGTTGCACCAGATTTAAATGAAAATGATATTAAATCAATATCATCTGTTATTCGTCAACCAAATACACAACTTGATGGTTTAATTGTATCTAATACAACAATAGCAAGAATGGATACATTGAAAAATGAACATCGTAATGAAACTGGAGGATTAAGTGGTCGACCATTGAAAGAAAAAGCACTTGAAACTCTTCGTTTATTTCGATATTACACTCAAGGTTTAATGACTTATTTATTTATTCTTTTAATCATAAAATTTATATTTCTAGGTCAAATTCCATTAATTGGTGTTGGAGGAATTGAAACCGCAGAAGATATTATTGAACGAATGAAAGCTGGTGCAAGTCTCGTGCAAAGTAAATTTTCATACGATGATAGTTGTGAAATATTCCATTTTTTTTAATTTTAGTTTATACTAGTTTGGCGTATTCTGGTCCTCCATTAGTCAATAAACTCAATCGACAATTAGCTACTATCATGAGGTATATTGAATTAATTTACATAATACTTTTTATTTTTATTTTCTATTCTATAATAAATAGACAACAAAATATAAAACATCTCAATGAATTGATTGGTAAAAATGATCGTAGATAATTTTTTTTTTGTTTTCATTTTTCAACGATATTCGTATACGAATATATGGTGTTATTATATAAAATATATCATAACTTAATGATTTTCATATTTTACATTTCATGTACTTCTCTGTTCAATCAAGAAACATAATTACAATTAATATTGAACAAATACATATACAAACATAAATCATACAAAGAATATTAATCTAAATATGAAAATAGTCAAAAAAAAAATCAATTTCATTATATACTTTTTCTGTTGGTTGAAGTATAAGAAACAATATTAAACTCGATCTATTTTAAAAAAATCAATTTATTCTCATAGTAAACGAAAATAATTCTATGAAACAAACTTGATTGAAAAAAGATACCAAAAAATCGATTAACAATAACATCTTTATAAATATATTATACCTGTATCAGTTAAATAACTACATTTTGCTGTCCATAATGGTGCAGCAGCCAAATCAACTAACAATTACCTAGATATATAAAATATGCTTTTGGATAATAATTGGCTGCGCCATATAAAAGATAGCTGAAAGCAAACGTTGATTTATTGATGACTCAATCTTTCATACTTATAGAATTTGTGATATAACAATTGCCCATTTCAAACCAAAATAGCTATCAGTTGATGTGGTAGGAAGACAGATAAAAAATTAGAGTGTGTGTATTCTACTTATACCTGCACTCTAGGTAATAAGCCATCTAATGAGACTCGTAGCGAGATTGAAGCACCTTATTTTAGGTGACAGAATACGATATCGTAAGCGACCTTATATGGTAGAAAGTGACGAAAAACGATGGTCGTTTTTTATCGATATATTAGAATCCATTGATTTTTATCAAAAAAATGTTTTTAAGGCCCTATTTTATTGCATATTTGCATAAATCATCAAAAGAAGTACAGTTATTGAACGATTGCAATAACTAACACGATAAGACATTTATTAGAACGGCATCTGTAACATGAATAGAAAATGAAAATATATTATATTAAATGTGAGATTGTATTATGCACAAATATTAAATATGAAAACTAAATAAAATAATTTTTAGGCTATTTTCATTATTGACTATTCATTGAACAAAGAACTGGCATGCTATATATATGCATATAAATATATTAGTTACTTATTTATTAAATTTTGTTTTTTATTTTCCTAATGTAAATACGTTTTCTGAATTTTAGATGAATATTGATATAGAGAATGACATTCACTTTAGTCAAAATCAAAAGAAAAGAAGAAAACGTTGGTATAAATTTAACAACCCATGGCAAAGACAACCGCGCCAGAGACGGTATCGTAAACGGTAGAAAGCCGGTAAAATACGGCGCGTATTCTGGGTTGACGGATTACGGTGAGATACCACCAAAAATAAGGCAATAAAACGCCGTTTTTAGTCGTTTCAGACCGTTTAAGATGCCGTTTCCGACAGCCGGAATGCTGAACATAGGTAGATAATCAATTGCTTCCAAACCTGTCAAATGGGTGATTTAAGACAACTTGATGGTAGAGATAATTTTAAGAAGGTTTGGCACAAAAACTGCCACAGATATCAAAACTCGTACCTATGCAACAGAAGAAGATCTTGGTAAAATATTTGAATTACCATTAACCATTCAACAACAAATACTCTCACCATCAAATAATATTAACTTTAATTACGAGACCATTCATGATAATGGAATACTTTACAATTCAACTTATATTGTATTATTTCATCAAGGAGAACAAAATCTAATTGGTATACATAAATATTATTATCTTGAAACTACTAGAAAACTGGTTGGCGTAACAATCGGAGCTGGTGCTTTGATTGGTGCAATATGTTATTATTTTGGTAGTATAGGTGAACGCACATCTTCTTTAACTGAATATATTCAAGAAATTACAATGCAATTATTGATCAAACATTTACAAGATGTGCTGGCATGTTTTTCACTACAGCTAATTTTTATGATTTGAAACGTTGGTTCATGAACGAATATACCAAGAAACGGCCCGTACTCTGAGTTGACGGGTTACGGTGAGATACGACTAAAAACAAACCACTAAAACGCGGTTTTATAGTCGTTTAAGACGCCATTTCTGACACCCGGAATGGTTAACATGGGTAGATAATTAATTGCTTCCAAATCGATCAAATGGGCGATTTAAGACAACTTGATGGTAGAGATAATTTTAGAAAGGTTTGGCGTCGAACTGCAACAAATATGCTCACCTTCCAATGGTATTAAATTTAATTACGAGACAATTCATAATAAAGATATATTTTACAGTTCAACGTATATTGTACTTTTCTGCTAAGATACAAAAAATTGAATTGGAGTATTTAAATATACTTATCTTACAACTGCAACAAAATTATTTGGTTTAACACTTGCAGCTGGTATTTTTATTGCTGGAATGTATTATTATTCAACTAGTATAGTCAAATACATCTCTTCTTTTACTGAATATGTTCCTGATCAAATGCTCAAAAGATTTAGTCGTTTTTTTTATACAACATCAACTTTTTATAGTATTAAAAACTGGATAATGAATGAAAATTCAAAATTAAATTTTTTATTTGCAGCTTGCATTACAAAAACAAACCGAAAGCGTTCGTGATGCGTAAATGGATCCGAAATTGATTAGCTCAATAATCCCAGGACGATGGTTCCTGAAGTAGGATTCCATGAATTCTCGGCGAAATTCCTGAGGAAACTCGCCACTTCTGGGCGGAATCCATCCGGAAAATGCCAGGAATCTGATGGAGAAGTGAGGGAACCGTATCCGGCTGTTGGTTCCGGCTCAAACCAGATAAATTCGGTCACGGGATCTGTTCAAAGGGAATACCACGGAACTGGGCCGTTTCCGTGCCGGATTGTTCGACCTGGGATAAACCAAGCATTGTTAATACTACAATGATTCTGTTTTTTTTTTTTTTTTGTATTTTTGTTAAACATCGAATATTATAATACATTTCTGAAAATGCTTGAATTTAATAAAGATTTTTTCAGCATTATTCATGACACAAAAAAATCTTTTTATTCAAAACAAAAACCCTGTAATGCAAGGATTAAAAACCACTTTGTTTTTTATTTGAAATTTTTTCAAATATTGTGATGAAAAACAAAATTTAAAAATAAGTGACAGTGAATATGAAATTAAAATATTTGAAAATGTTATATCTTATATTTTTAATCATTACTTCATGGTATCTGAAAATATTGTACCACTAGTTGTTGCATATTATCTATTTCAAAGATCATTTTCAACTAATGATTTGATATATAATCAACTTGTTGAGGGGTGGGTAATCACTAAGAAGAAAATCACAAAGAAGAATACATACATCTACACCCAAAACTATACTGACACCCACACCCATTTTTATGTTTATATATTAGGGTGTGGGTGTGGGTGGGTACGGATACAGTTAAAAAGACAAGACATATACCCATACCCATCCATACCCATCCACACCCACCACACACACACACACACACACACCCACGCACATATCTTTCAATGAATTTTGTGTGTAGTATGAATATATTTTCACAAATAATCTTATTTGCAATATTATGTGTCACATGAATTTATATTTTACAAGCAATGCATAATATTATAGATTGATAAGAAAATTATGTTAAATATATTATGAAGTTCGAGGAATTGATCTTAGATACAAAAAAAAACGAGATACGTGAGTGAATAATATAAAAACAAATATTATAAAGTACAACTTTTGTTAGTGTATCATCTTATATAATTTGTAATGAGATATGTTTAATATCAATAGAATATTTATAATCGAGCCAACGCTTTGAAGAAATAGTTCATATTTGGTTATACAGTGTGAAAGATGTTCATCTTCGTAATCGATAAGACGATGATGAATTGGATTATGAATTTGTGTACACCTAGGAAATAGAAAAACAAAACAAATTATCCATTTAACAATTCCTTTTCTTAATTCAAACACAGCAGAAATTACGTCGTTGCAAGGAATGCTACAAGTAAGAGCAAGATGTTTAAATTATACCCGAAGGAATATGCCAAGACTCATGCACTATAAAATACCAGATAATTACATTTTAACTTGCTTCTATACTATATTTTCCATACTAATAGCTCTTATTAGAATAAATCATCGAGAAATATAGTAATATGTATATATGTATGTATTTACCTGTTGAAGAGATCAGTGAGATGGCGATTGAATTTGTAGTTGTTGTTGACTTTAACGTCGTTCCAGTTGTGACTAATTGTACTGTTGTTGTAATTGGAACTGAAATATATTCCGAACATAAAACTCGAATAAATTTCTTACAACCAAATTCTTATCAATTAGACTTCGTTTTGTTCATAGTTTTCAATGTCAAATTGTTATATATTTCTTAAATTATAAATTTATTGTAGAACTGTCATTTGCAATGTTGTTCTTAACCTTGAATGAATCTCTTCCCAGTAAGCTCTCATATAGATTTTTATACTAACAAACGCATATGAAACTGTTATTTTAGAGTATTTTTGCATCAACATATCTACTGAAACTGCAAATTGGCACTCTTGATATTTTAAATTCATCAAACTTGAGAGCACAGCTATGACTGAGAAAAATCGAAGAGTAGACTTACCACAAGAGTTCGTTTGAAAAATGAATTTCTGAATTCGGTTGTTGTATTCATCCGTAACAAATATATTGCCATAACTGTCAAAAGCAAGAGCCCATGGATATCGTAATTGATCGGAGTCCGAACCACCTGCATCCGTACATCCAACTAAACATCGAAATCCTGTAGGATCTGATCTTACGATTCGGTTATTATTACTATCTACAATGAATAGATAGTTGTCAGCATCGAGGACAATACTTGTTGGATTGCTGAATGCGAAGCTGACTGATGCTTCTACTCCTGCCACTGTCGTCCCATCCATTTGTCCATATTTAAAAAACTGAATCCGATCATTTTCAGAGTCCGCTACATACAAATTAAAATTGATATCGACAAAGATTCCAGTAGGTGAGTCAAGCATATTTGATGTTGATCCAGAAGAACCAGTGCCTGCAACGATCGTCGATGAGTTTGCATTACCATCGGGTGAGCTGGCAACAATTATATGAGCCTCCGATTGAGAACAATAAATAGTATTGTTCATGTCGACAAAGAGTCCGTCACAGCGTGCACTGACATACATTACAGTTACACTGGCTGTATCATTATATGACCATTTATCTATTCGACCGTTGGGATAATTATTGTCGACGTAAATATCACCATTAATAGTGACAAAAAGATTATTGAGAGAGGTGAAATTACCGGAAATATTTCTTGTCGGAATGATACTGCCATCAAGCCACACTTGAACGCATCCATGAGTTCGATCAACCACGTAGACGGTATTGTTAATATCGATGAAAATACTGCGAGGAAGTAGACCCACTGTGCTGTTATCTGCAAATGTGATGGCGTTCAAGTTCCATGACGCAGTCGGACAAATTTCAGGTTGGTTAAACGATGGTTCTATTCAATGAGATACATCTGTTACCCGTCATACATAAAAGTATTACAGACTGATTTCTTCTTTTTTAAACTTATTATTGGCATCTCTTACTCTTTCTACAGCTAAGTTTTTGACTACAACGCATGACTTCCTTCAACGCAAAAATCAATTCACCACTCACAGATTACTAATCATTTATTTATGCCCTAATAAGAATTCATCAGACTCACCACAAGAATTTGTTGTGAAAATAAACTTTAGTAGTTGATTTTTACTATAGTCACTAACAAATATGTTGCCATAGCTATCAAAAGCAAGAGCCCATGGGTATGGTAGTTGATCGGAGTTCGAACCGCCTGCATTCGTACATCCAATTACACATCGAAATCCTGTAGAGCTTGATCTTACAATTCGAGTATTATATGAATCCACAATGAACAGATCGCTGTTGGCATCCAGAACGATGCTTGTTGGATTGCTGAGTGCGAAACTTACTGATGCTTCTTCTCCTACCACTGTCGTCCCATACATTTGTCCATATTTAAAAAACTGAATCCGATCATTGTCACAGTCAGCGACGTACAAATTAAAGTTGATATCGACAAATATTCCCATGGGAAAGTAAAGCATATTTGATGTTGACCCAGAAGAACCATTGCCTGCAACGATCTTCGATGAGTTTGCATTGCCATCGGGTGAACGAGCCACAATTACATTAGCATGCCCTTGAGAACAATAAATAGTATTGTTCATGTCGACAAAGAGTCCGTGACATACGTCACTGACATACATTACAGTAACACTGGTCGTAGCATTTAATGTCCATTTGCGGACTCGACCCTTGTAGCCATTGTCGACATAAACATCACCATTGGCAGTGACGAAGACACTGTATGGACCGTTCAAACTACCGGTAATATTTCTCGTCGGAATGGCACTTCCTGCAGGCCACATTTGCACGCGGTTATACGAATATTCTGCTAAGTAGACGTTATTGTTGATGTCGACGAAAATGCCAGAAGGATATCTGCCGACTGTGCTCCTGTTTGCAATAATAATTCCATTGTTATCCCATACTGCAGACGCACAAAGTTTGGGCTGATTGTATGAGATAGCTACAAAGAATAAACAGATACAAGCTACACTTTAACAAACGAAGAATGCCTTATTTTTCTGTGTAGGATACTGGTAGTAGATGTTTCATCTACTGGTATTTGGTTCCAAATCATCGATACTATATGAGAAACAATATCCTTTTCATGATGTGGGCAGGTATTAAAATGAAGATTACAATGTAGATGAATTTCATGTGAAGAAAGAGACGTAAAAAGCTTTACACGTAAAAGTAAATGTAGTGTACATATAAGAATATACCAGTGGCCATATTAAGAAACAGCTTACTCGTTATAATTATCAACGATTAAACAAGAATTTTGCCATGAAACTTTGCGCACATAAAGGCTTCAACTTGGCTAGTATGCATAAAAAATTTTAGGAGTTCATGCTATATATATTATCTATGAAAAAGGGCGTATGTTTCGATAGATCTATATTTCGGAAAGACTTTGCTCAAAACTTCTGAAAGTTTTTATTTAACCATGTCTAGCTGATGCCTTTATATCAGCAAAGTTTCAAGGCAAAATCGGGGTGCTATAGCGAAACTTAAATAAAACCTTGATATTTCATCAGGACCACGCTATGGGCACGAGCCCTTTCTCTATTTTCTTAGTCTCACTAAGTCCTACTAGTAAGCCAAATGGTATGTTTAACAAACATAGAAGAATATGTGTATTATAAATGGATTGAAAGAAGAGAACTATGTATTCCTACATGTACTATTGACGGCGTTGATGAACACGGTCATGATCAGGATCCACAAGTTCAAATTTATCTTGAACGAAAACGACATGAATAATCGCTTTGCACGCCACATTGTGCCAAAACCAGTCATATTGATAAAAAACTATTTTCAGTTCTATAATGTATGCTTACTTGATGACTACAAACAACTAACATTTATAAGAAAATCTCTATGCACACACTCTTTTTCGAAGAAGAAAAAAAAATAATTAACTCATTCTATTACCATCGTCAAGAGGATACTTTATAAATGGAGAAAAAGATAATTACATTCTTTTTTTGAGTTAACCAATCTCTCATTTAAAATAGTTTTTAAAATTGAATTTTTTTTGTCGACGCATATTCTTCATAACGACGCACTGAAAAATAACCATTTATCAACAAAGAAGTTGAGTAATAACTAACAACATATTATATTAGTGTAAAATTAAAAATAACACATTTGTTTTTTAGGAAGAGGCCTTAATAAACATTTTTTTTGGCGTTTATGCATCGAAAAATACATTTGAAACAAATCATAGATTTCTAGCACTCGTTGCGTTCATTTTGTTAAAGCAAACAAAAAGAATATTCGAGAGCTTTCATCGGTCAATACGAATTGAAAATGTTTTTTTTTGCACTTTTTTTTTGATTTATACATATCTTTTATTTCAATAAACAATATAGGTGTATGTAAGATTTTAAAAATGAGCTAATAAAAATTATGTATTGTAAGTTGTATGTCTTGGCATTTATTAGTACAAAAAAAAAGGATTTGAAGAAGCGTAATGGCTAGTGCAAAACTATAGGTTGATCCTGTTTCGATCCTCAAACGATATCAAAGAATGAATTATAAATTTTGAGTGCTGCTAAATGTGATACCTATAAAGCGCTATTGATTTGAGTAAATATGGACACAACATAAAAAGCATCAGTATATAATTTATTTATTATAGCTCTTCAACAGCTGTCGCTATCACCATTCGTTCCCGACGACGTTTTATACCTAGCACAATTTTAACCATTATGGGCACACAAATTTTGAGTATAACAGTTAATCCTCCATATAGCCCCATAATGGCTGTCACAACATAGAGCAGATCAGCTCGTTTATTGACTGAATAGGTGCATTGAGTTGATGCACATAATTGATAGTATTGATCATAGGTTATATTATTTTCCCATCGATCGATCATAAGTACATTGACGAGTGCTTGGACAGTAATATTGGGTGAAGAGAGTGTCGAATCCAGTGCCCTAATAGAAATATTTGACGAGTAATACATATTTTTGAGTGCATCGATGCATGTCATATTGTACAAACATTCAAGAGTTGATTGAAGAAGTGCCTCGAGCGGATAACACCCAACAAGAAGTCCGGGCAAAGATTGTTCATCGAGACTAGCTGGCGATGTGCACATGGCATTTGTACCACACGAGCAATTGCCAGCGTCGCCATACAATCGTGGTTCACTCCACAATGAATCAGGTGGTGTAATATTATCATCGAAATAGGAATGTGGTACAGTTCGAATCAAAGCAAAAAACTGCCAATTGGACATAGTCGATGAAACAATCTCATTTCCTTGTGCCATGTATCGAATAAAATCGAGTAAACGTACAAATGTTCGAGGTGTTGCTAAGCGAAACTGATCGATGGCTGCAGTTGCTTGAATTTCAATATTTTCTTGAGATTGTAGATATTTAGAGACAAATGTGCTCGAAGTGAATTGAATCAATCCCTGTGAGAGTGTGTCATTCACCAGGCTACACAATGAAGTAAGCCATTGAAACTGAGGGACGGCAAAGAGACGATAATTATCATAAGAATAGTTGAGAGCAGCCTCATCATCAAATAGTAAATTGAGCCAAGCTGAAGAATTTGAGATAAAATCACTTGAACAGAGTTGATGAAAATGAGGTGCAATTGAAATAAACGAACCATATGGGATAGAAATATTCTCACAAGGACACTCTAATGTGGCCGAATATTTTGAATTGGATTGTAACTGTTCAAATGTCATTTTTGATGGATTGTGCACGATAAAATATTTTGTTTCAATAGCCAAGGATGTGTAAGTCATGAGAATGACAATCGAAATAATCAGACACAAAATATAGACACGAGTAGAAATAATTTCGGTATGAGTAAGGCTAGCATCTTGTCGTGTTACGTCACTTTCGAATAGATTTAGTTCGAGTAGTTTCTTCTTGAATTGTTGCTGTAGGAGCCGTAGACGATTGGCGAATGTCGGGTGACGATCTATAGAATACAAGAGAAAAGACACAATATATCTTCTCATCGACATGGCTCACCTGATTGAACGTCAGTCATCTGTGGAACTTTTGGCCGCATTTTTTTCCGTATAAAGCCGACAAAAGTTGGAACAAGAAATTTTAATGCAGCTGTAAGTCCACCAAATAAGCCGACTAATACTGTAAATACATATAATGCATTGTTACGCGCAATATATGTATACGAGCATAGTTTGGGTGCACATTGCGCATAATATTGATCATATTGAATAAGTTCACCCCACTGTTCAACCATTAATGCATCGAGCAAGACACCAATCAATGTCTGAGGTGAAAATCGAGTAGTATTTGCTTCTAAAATAGGTGTATCTATCGAGTATGTAGAAATAATTGCCCATTGAACTGCATCTAGACATCCTTGTTCAAAGAAACATTCAAGTGACGAGTGAAGAACGCCTTGAAGGATAGAACAGCCGACGAAAAGGTTTGGAATATTCATCGTCAGTTCTAGAGTGGTATAATATCCGTAATAGTCGTAATCGCCAGATGAATACAAACCAATCGGTTGCTGACATTCATTGTTCAGAGTACACGAACAGTTACCACGGTTTTGTGGCAGCAGTAAAACGTCGATGCGTTGAGTATTATTAGTTATTTGAGGCACAACAAACGGGGGCTCGTTTGTGGCTATAAACATATTTCTGGTATGCGATTGGATTAGTGTAATAGTACGTTTGAAATCAGTCGCTGTGCTCGATTCGAATTGATTCAATGCAGAACGTATACGAGCCAACAATTCATCATCAGATATTGCCTGACTAGTGACTAATGAATTTTTAGCAAAAACCTGCCAAGCATCGGATATGGTTGCTTGAGCCAATGAGCATAATACGGCCAGTGCATTAAAGAAATACTGACCAGATTCCTGGAAGTTTTCTGGGCTATACGTATTCTCATAATATTGGCCTCGTATGCTCTGAATCCATTCATCGGATACAAACAAACTTGTACACACAGGATGAAACTGAGGCGACAGCGAGATAAATGAACCATATGGTATAACTATTTGGTTGCATGGGCATTGGATTGTCGTCGGATACTTTTCTTGTAAGTCTTCAAAGATCTTTTGAGTTGGGTTTTGAATGGTGACAGTTTGTGTTTGGATATTAGACGCAGTGTAAACGACAAGAATAGTAATAGAGAGAAAAAGACAGAGGAGATAGATACGAGTCGCAATTTTTGATGTGATCAAATCGTACGGATCATCATATGCGACAGACTTCTTGAACAGATTTAATTCAATCATTTTAATTCGCATCCAAGACCATATTGCACGACAACGTTCGACAAGAGACACATCTATATGAAAAAAAGAGAGAGTGATGGAAAGAGTTGTATGTATGTATATTCAATCAACACTTACTTAAGTTGGGTTGCACCGGATTCTGTCGACGTAAAGCTCGATTACGCCACCAGACGATGGACCGGGGCACGATTAAACGAAGGACTACGACGATTCCACCGTAGAGGCTTAATAATTTGGTTAATACATACAACACATTATTATGCTCAATGAACGTGTATGTGCAGAAAATGGGCGCACATTGTGCATAATAAGTTGAGAATGAACTTAGTGTCGTCCATCGTTCGATGAATAAATTGTTGGCCAATGTTTTAACAGGTGTCTGTGGATCGAAGTGGGTCTGATTCTTGTTGAGAGTGGTAAATGTAGTGTTGGTTGGCAGAAGATAAAAACTGAGTATTGTGAGCAAACAGGTTGGATCGAAGAGACACTCGAGTGTTGATTCTAGAAGTGACTCAATATCATAGCATCCAACCATGAACCCGCTCACATTAGCCAAGTGCGGATAATCCCATTCATATGTAGTACCGGCTGGATAGCCATAAAAATAATCCGTATAAAATGCAGATGGCAATAGGCATGTGGGCTGGTAATGACAAAAACAATCTTTTCCAACTTCGTAATAAAATATGGTGCCTAGGGCTCCGGTTACTGATAGCATACCCATATCATCAAAATATATCTGATATGCTCTTGATCGTTGAGATGCTGTTTGCAGCCCATTGATGTGCGTAATATTACGGATGAGACGGAGGAGATGTTCAAAAGCGTTTGCTGTTGATATTTGCACAAATAAACTATCTGCTTCACTTTGCTGATCAAATGACAATCGGGAAATTACGTACGGTGTTAGTAGAGTATCCGAAAGAAAATTATCGATTGCATCATGTATTGATCTCGAAGTCAGCGAACATAACGAGGCTAGCAATTGAAAATGGCCAAGAGCTGACGAGCGAAAATCAATTGGAAAGAAATAACTAATATTTGGATTGAAAAGAAGATTGATCCATTCATCCGATACAAATGAACTAAGGCATACTGGGTGATATTCGAGAGAAATTGAAATAAATAGCCTACGCGCAATAGCGACCTGACTGCAGGGACATTGAAGTGTTGAAGGATATTTGTTGTATAAATCTTCAAAGATCGCTTGCGACGGATATTTAATAGTAACAGTTCTGCTTTGCCCGCTCAATACAGTGAAGGAGATGAGAATCGTAATGGCCAATGTGAGCAAAAGAACATACACACGAGTCGAGATTATTGCAGTACGCAAATGAAAAGCATCAGAAAGAGATAAGTCACTCTTGAACAAATTCAGTTCAACTATTTGTGTTTTGATCCAGTTAAATATGGCATGCATACCTGCAAGAATGAACTGTTTTCAGTTCTGTAATGTATGCTTACTTGATGACTACTAACAACTAACATATACAAGAAAATCTCTATGCACACACTCTCTTTTTCTAAGAAGAAAAAAAAATAATTAACTCATTCTATTACCATCGTCAAGAGGATACTTTACAAATGGAAAAAAAGATAATTACATTCTTTTTTTGAGTTAACCAATCTCTCATTTAAAATAGTTTTTAAAATTGAATTTTTTTTTTATCGACGCATATTCTTCATAACGATCCACTGAAAAATAACAATTTATCAACAAAGAAGTAGAGTAATAACTAACAACATATTATATTAGTGTAAAATTAAAAATAACACACTTGTTTTTCAGCTTTTGGTCTACACTGATGGTTGAATTTATCAACATTCGGTTTTTTCATCTTAGTCATATGTATATGTCACAGTGGACATGAGAATTCAGTTGAGATTGGAATAGTAGATTTAATTAAATACTAATAGAATAGAAAGAAACGAAAAAAACGAAAAAAAAATAGTTCTAAATTATTCTATTTTATATACAATATAATTAAAACTTTCAACTTAATGCTATGAATGACTTTTACATTAACAAGTAAAATTGTAAACTTTCTTTTCGAAATATTTTAAATTTATTAAGATGAATTTTCAATAACAATTCTAGCTTTTAGCTCGATCAACTATAGTTTGAAGAGTTTGCTGAAATAAAAAATCTTCTTTTTTTGGCCCTCTTGGTCGAATTAAAGCTTTATGATTACTCAAATAAGAAAATAAAATTCATTCCGTTACACTATATAAAAAACTAACTGAGAATATTATATTTCAATATTCAGACTACGTTAAGACCAGTATATAAATACGCATAAATATATTTCATGTCTCATAATAATTACAATAAAAAATGATATCAGCATTTTACAAACATACAAAATATTGTGCGGCAAACGTCACTGAATATGCAATCTAATATTATTCGCATATTAAAATCGATCAATACGATACTCTCATTCGTTTGTATCTTTGTAAAACTATGAAATATAAAATCTATTTCTTTTTTTTGACCCTTCTGTTCGGGTTAGAGGCATACCATTACTATGTAACAAAATAGAATTCATTAAAATTACTTTTAGTGCAAAAATACTCAATCAGAAATATTAGTTGAAATCAATTGATAAAATTATATATCGTCGTGCAAATTACGTTTAAGATCAGTGTATAAATATGAATGTACATATTTTATATATTACGCTATTATTACTATAGAAAAATGTCAGCATTTTATAGAAGTGCAAAACACCGTGCGTACAATATTATAGAATATAAGATCTGAAAATCTTTAGATATTTTTTATTACTTCCTTATTATACAATGAAATTGAGTAAATCGAAACATAATGATATCATGTGGATATATAACTGCATCTTGATATAAAAAATCTATATAAATCAAATGTTATTGAATTCATTGAATACAGCAAGAGAGAAAGTAATAACAAAACATAAAAAACCCAATAGTATACGATCATTACATATTTTTTAACAATTTACTTACAAAGAATGATGCTGATTCATCACATAATCATCTGTTCTCTCGTCTATCAATCATTAAAGAATCGTTCCAAAACACTGATACAAAAGATCAGTTAGAAAAAAAATTAGGTCATAAATTAGGAAATAATCAACAAAACTTACATTAATACTTTTGTACTGTGTAATTGAAAAAATTAATCTCTAATTTAAATTAACATTTTCTCTTTTTCCTTACATAATATGATTTTACTATAAAATAGGAATTGTCTACAAATTACAATAACTATACTCATTAAAAAAAAAGAACTGTAATGAAAAATCTCACATCATCTATATATTGTAATAAAACAAATAACTTTTATTTACATATTTGAAAATATTTCGATTTTTACTGATAATTATTTTAAAAATTTCAAGTCATTTTTGAAAAAAAAGGTATCATTTATCAACTTTTCAAATATTCAAATTTAGGGTGTGGGTGTGGGTGTTGGTGTGGATATCAGTAGTGTATTATAATCCCACACCCGCACCTACACCCACACCCTCAACAACCGAAAGAAGGATAAGATGCACCAATGCAATACTAAGACGTTCTCTATCCATTTGAATAGAAATAAGATACTGCTCTCATCCTATATACTCTTTGTCTACATTACAGTTACATTAAAACTACTGAGCGCTTTTTGTTTAAAAGAATAAATTAGTATGTCTAAATTTATCAGAAATTCTTTTTGATTGTGTTTAGAGAACATCTTTAAATTTTTACAGTTCATGTTGAGTACTATCAAACAATAGCATACAGTACTGAACTTGACAACCTTTTACTTTCATTGAAGTTGTTGAAAGAAGAGAAAGCAGACGCATTATTAAATATGCTTCATTGATAGATGACGATCTTTAGAATTAGTTTAAATAAAGAATCATAAAATTTGTTTTGTCTCCTCTTGTTGAGGACAAGATATTTATTTTATATGTAAATATTTAAAAAAATTTTCTGTAAGATATTTTGTTAGATCACGATTATAGAAGAACAAATCGAATATAGTGATGAATGAACTAATTACAGGTAACAATCGTAAGAATTGAGAAACAGTTAAATTTACATAAACATCCACATTCAAAAGTAAAATACAAGAAACAGGTAACCATCCAATTATGTACGCAACAAAAATAAAAAGCATATGCTTAAGTAAACGAGTATCTCGACTACTTGAATGATTGATTTTAGCCGTTGGGCCTGTGGTTGCTGCTACTGCTTGAGCAACACGTCGGCTCGAAGATCGAACAGTAATAAATATCAATGAATTAGAAATTGCATTGAGAATCAATGGTACAATGATAAAAATAACAAAGGAATAGATTTGTAACCAATATGGTGTTTGCTCTTGACGTGCACATCCCTATAAGAAAAAAACTATTTATTTGAAGTAACATCGCTGTCACCCATATTTACCTCAACTAAATAAATAAGATAAGGTACTGGTATTAGAATAGATATTATCCATTGTATACCGGATGATATAAAAGGCCATGTTCTTCTTTGAAAAAATCTTTTATTTGGATATTTTATTGTTAAAAAGCGGTTTATAGTAATCATTATTATAGAATAAACAAATAAACAATTGGCTAATACTGCACCATAAGAAGAAAAAAAACACCAAAATCTAGATTGATATATATCGGATAGGTAAAAATTAGATAGAATAGAAAATACAATCCAATAAATAGAACAAATAATACTGGTCACACAAACATTGCCTATTAAGATATTTGTAGTAGTATGAAAACGTCGAACTGAAATAATAGGTAGTAAATAGATTATTGTTAATATAATAGTAATTAAAAGAACGACAATGTTAACCATGAATATGATATATATTGCATCGGCCATCTTTTCCACAAAGTAAATGAATATGATAAAATAAAATTACTTAGAAGTAAAAACAACTATCTATTTGCTAATGGAAATAATAAAAAAATTGCGTTGTTTATATATATATATATATATATTTTATATGCATTCGCAAAGTACTCTCAAAATTTATTATAATCATAAAAGAATAATAATTTGATGATTCATATAGACTTCTACTATTTTTAGTATTTTCTTTTTCATCAAAAATTTATAATATGCATGAGAAAATCTTTTAAAATGCAAATTGTAAATGATGAAAATCAAATATTCACAGATATATTTGAATGACTAATTAAAAACTTACTGACTTGTTATCAATAAAGAACTGTCACTTAAAAATTATTTTGCATCTTTTGATAAAATAAAGAATTATAAGAATGTTTATGGTTCAACTGATAAATTAATGTCAGTTAAATAATAGAAAAATACGTACTTTCAGAAAGTAAACAATCGAATTTTACTTCTTATCAACTATAATCGTAATCTTGATAAAATATATGATTTTATACACTTTGATAATCCATAAAAAATAGTTTACCTTTTGCCTACGATCGAATATATTGATAGAAGAATTAAATAAGGCAAGAATGTTATAATAGAAAACAAATCTCAAGATTTGATATATTTTGATAGATAGGGCTATAACTAAAAGATACAGACATGAAATAGTTATTAAACAGATAAGTGAATCTCACTGAAATGAAATATAACGTGCTCTTTTTAAATTATGGACAATTTATTAATGAACTAATTATTTATATCAATATTTGTTCTAATTGAGGAAGGAGAATAATCTATACATATACAATACACATTTACCAACTTTAAATAGAAAAAAAACACGTAAGTATGTTGAAATTGATAGAATAGATAATACTCTTTCGAAAAATAAGCTAATTAGTGTCTTGTTTTAATTTCACTTGAAAATTTTGATTCATTATTCAAATTTCAGTTCAGACTATGATTTTTCCACAAAATCTTGAGTATTTTGAACTGTACATATACATATTCATTTTCAACATTATATGACTTAAGTTGATGTCAATACATCTGAATCAAAACAATTGATAAAAATAAAATTCGATATTCTATACAATAGATTTGGTCAGATGATAATGTAGAGACAAATATTAAGAATAGAAAGATTAGACTCCCAGATGGAATTTGGACGCTCCTCAAAAAAGTCACAGCTATATCTAAGTAATAGAATAACCAACTGTTCTTCTTCACATTTTTTGTAAAACAGAAGAGATGTGAAATGGAAATTGAAAGAATAACGAAAACACATATACAATCAACTCGTTTACCCGAAACGATAAAAGGAACTGCGCATCCGTCGTAAAAGGCCATTCTCTTCGCAAAGGTAAATCAATAAAGTATCGTCTTTCAGAATCGCTTCGTTGATAGAATAATAGAATTGATTTACGTCATCGAATTAGCAAGTGATTTTTATCGTCGATCATATCTGATTGCATCTTGCTCATCTATATATAGACGAGAGCTATGATAGATTCGATATAACAAAGCTTCAACAGATAGTCTATAGTAGTCCAACATTCGATACATTTTACGATAAATAAAAACGAATTCAATGAAGCCAGGTCGGTGTTTCGTATTATGCTGCTTCGTAATTCTACTGGCTCACACTTCAAATGCTTGGGACTGTTTTGAAACATGGAGTCGATGTACAGGTTGGTCCTCACGGGCAACGGGTTTTCTTTGGCAAAACTGTCGATCTTATTGCCAAGGCTGCAGAAATGCGGCGTCAGGAAGTTGTCAAGAGACGGGGACCACCGAATGTAATGGAGAGAAAATTACAGCGTATCAGTGTCAATGCTCAGGAAAATGGAGTGGCAAAAAGAAACCGCGATGTATCCCATTTGGATTGGGTAAATAAACAACTATATAAGAGACATTTAGAAGTGTAGTTGAAGCAATTATTAAAAAAATAAATAATAATGAATAAAAACTTTTACTTCTCAGTGAGACGAATTAGACAAACAACGCGTAAAAACGATGTACAAAGTTAGCGCGTAAAGGTTCTTTAGGGTGGGTGTAGGTGATGAATGAGAAGAATACACACACTCACAACCATCAATTAAATGACCACACTTTGCTGTCCATAATAATACAGCAGCCAAAACAACAATAGCAGCTGCTAAAGAAAGTTAAAATTAATTAATAAAAAACATTAAACTATAAATTAGCTGGATATATAAGATATGCTTTTGGATAATAATTAGGTGCAACATATAAAAGATAGCTGAAAATAACAATTTATTTATCCACGACTCAATCTTTCATACTTACACAGTTTGAGATATAACAATTATTCATACCACGAAAGGCAGTAAATTGAAGAAGAATAGTTATACAAAAGACAAACAAATTTTTATAAGTACGAAAACGAAGCTGATTTATAGTTGTTGATTTGATAATAATACTATTATCAATTATTGTTTAATCAAGTTGAGATTTAAGTTCAACATTAGAAAAGATTGATGTTATGTTGAAATTTCTGAAAACAAGTGTTATTTTAATAAAAAACAAAACAAGAAGAAGATAGAATGATCAATAATAATGGTCATATACAGATGAAATAAAGTCAATAATTTATTTGATAAAAACAAAAGACAATTGATTTATAACGATGAATTAACGATTGCTTTTCTTATATATAAATAATATATATGTATATGTATTATTTATTGTGTTGTCTTCTATATTTATCAAAAAAGAACATAAACTAATGAAAAAGTGATTAAGCTTTTTATAAGGAAGTATATTACGAAGCTCTATATAAGATTGAAAGAAAAACTATTTTGTGAAATAATTTGCTAATCAATTTATTTAATCTTGTAAATTAAGCATTTTCAAAAAAAACATTACTTAGTTTATGATAGATTATATCTGTAAAAGGATAATAAGACGGTCTGTATCAACGATATTAATAGAGTAACAAACAAAATGATGGTTATATGTTGCTAGCAGAAATGTATAACATTTATCTATATTATTTTGTTTGAAGAAGCCTGTATGAAGATGCTAGATAGATAAGTGCAATATTTTCAAACTATAATTAAAGACCTTCAGAAGTATGAAATATTTGTTTAAGAACGAAAAAGAAAAATGTAGATATTTTTCTAGATTGTAAAACATTGATGACAGATGGATGTGGGTGTCGGTGTGTATAGGTATGGACGTGGGTCGGTGCTTCATACGTATGTCACTCATACCCACCCACAACACACCCGCACTCTACAGCAGTGAACTATTCGAGAAGCTGATCGAGAAACTGTTCCACTTTGATGAGAAATGGTACAAATGTGAAAATATATGCATTCAATGTTTAATTTAATACGATATGAATATTTTCATCTAAAGAGAAATCCTTTTTTTCAATTCCATTTCTCATTACGAGTGAAGATATAGATCAACCATTGCATATTATTATTTATTCATTTCTGCTGATAAAAAACCATATGTACTAGAATATATTCTTGGAGCGAAAAAAGAAAATAGTCTATATCTCTTTATACATCTTCCATTTCTGTATAAGAGTTAAGATATGGATGAATCATTTCACACTATAATTAATTCATTGCCGCTGGTAAAAAACAATCTCTGCTAGAATATCCTCTTACACGGAAAAAAATAAAGCAATTTATATCTCTTTATATATCTTCTATTTCTCTGTATGAGTGGAGATATGTATGAATCATTTCGTATTATAATTAATTCATTGCTGCTGGTAAAAAAACAATCTCGGCTTGAATATCCTCTTAGAATGAAAAATTAAAATGATCAATATTTCTTTATATTTTTTTCATATCTCCCGTAAGCGGAGATATGGATCAACGTTTGGACTTCGAATTGTTTCGACTTCGATCGGAAAATGATATACCGTTCACGTTGTGAGAGTAAATGATTTTCCCTTAGAGAGGAACAGTTTCTCTCGGTTGCGGGATATGATCTATCCCTCATGACACCTCGTCGGTATCTCCGTTCTATATCCTCGAGAATTTGACAAAGATCCTGTACGGATTCCTTGTGCATTTGGTTGCAGAAAGTGAGCGAAACATGCAGACATTTCCTACGTACACAACTTACTCTGATTCCTACATTCTATCTCATGAAAAAACTGTTTTTTGTTTGTCTGGTTACACTTTTCTTTCTGAAAAAATTCCTCCATCATCATAATTATACTCTCCTTTCAGCGAAAAAACTTGTTTATTCTCGTCCTCAGACTCTTTCCCGGAAAAGAAACTTGTCTATCGTCATTTCTGCATTCTCATTGGCAGATGTATTTTTCTAGCTCTCATTCCTCTACCTTCCTTCCTGAAAAAAACTTATTTCTTTTTACTTTAGTCTTTTACGCAAAAAAAACTTGTCTATCATCGTTCTTACATTCTCAATATCGGAAGAAATATTTTTTGCTCTCATTATTTTATTTTATTTTCATAAAAAACTTATTTATTCTCATTCTTAGACTATTTCTCGGAAAAAAACTGTCTATCATCGTTCTTACATTCTCAGTATCGGAAGGGATATTTTTTGTTCTCATTATTACATTTTTTTTTAAGAAGAAACTATTGTCACCCTATTACGAAGAGAAAGAAATTATTTCAAAACCCAGTAGTAAGTAGTATGTATGTTGTTACATTTTTTGTCTTGCAGTGGATAGATGTACAGACCGAAGATCAGTTCGAGTACTTTTTGATTCAGTAGAGTTTTCAACTAGTCGTCATAATAAGGGTGAGCCAAACAGTCTTGTCTGCAGATACCTTAGCGTCAGTATAAAGGAAATAATCTACTTCGTTACATTAAGTACTTTGCGGAGTTTAGAATTTAGCACAAGGGCGAGTGTGGACAGTAATCTCTTGACTACATCTCGTAACGTAACGGTGAAATGAATAATTTCATAAACATAATACATAACCATAACTAAAACTTTTTAGACTATAATATTATTCTCAAATTCTAATAATCACACTAAAGCTTTGCAAATGTGATCAACAGAAAAGTCGAAAAGTTAGATAATCGAATACTTCGACGGTTAAAGTCTCCGTTGAGTGAAACGGTAACAGAAAGGTTGAATAGATGAATACTTAAATGCTTCGTTAAATACGTGAAAAGTGAAACACTCGAACAGTTGAATCAGTGAATAATTGAGTGGTATGTAAATGCTCTTAGCCACTATACTATACACAAAGTATTCTTTCACTTTTCTCTCACGCACGTTAGTTTTCTCACTCATTAAATCTTGATTATGTCTGTCATCAACTAAAGACTTAATCTTTAAAACCTCTCCGACATAATATTTATTTAGCAAAATCAAGAACTAGCTTAATAGAAAATGCAATAGGTCTTTACTGCACTAACTCTATTAGCTATGATTAATTTCTCCGCAACGGGTGAGGGTGTGGGTGTGGGGTGTGGGGTGTGGGGTGCGGGGTGTGGGTGTCATGTCGATATTTTATCCACACCCACACCCAGCCACACCCACACCCACACCTACAAACACCCATCCACACCCACACCCACACTCACCCACACCCACCCACACCCTCACCCACACCCACACCCAACCACACCCACACCCAAACCCACACCCACACCTACAAACACCCACACCCACACCCACACCCACACCCACCCACACCCTCACCCAGCCACACCCACACCCACACCCACACCCACACCCATACCCACACCCATACCCACATCCACACCCACAAACACCCACCCACACCCTCACACACACCCACACCCACACCCACCCTCAAGATGTGTTAGCTGTGTCTGAGACTTAAAATTCATGAGCAAGATTAAATGATATGAATGCTGAAAATAATGAACTATCAAAATTTTAAATAAATGTTTTATTTTTTTTCTTGTAGGAAATCTATAAAACTGTATTTCTGGATAATTACTATTTCAAAATACACATACAACGAAATTTAAGTATTTGAAAAACGTTGAACCAAAATCTCCCAGAATGTCTGTCGCAACAAATTTTGAAAATCAATCGCATGACTCAAAAAATATATACAGTACTTTATTAATTGAATTGGAAAAAGCACGTCATCAGTTTCCCAGCGAATTTCCGGAACAGATTGATGTATTGGAAACTGTTGATGATAATGTTAATACCCAATGGGAAGAACGCTTGCGAGAAGCAAAAGAAGGTTACAATGGAGCACGGATTGTACTGATTCCCTATTATCTGGGTCATTCTCATTGGATTGGAATCGTACTAGAATTCGAAGCCAACGAAGAAATTAAACGGGCTGAATTTATTGATCCAGTAAAAGGATCGCAATTTAATCCTGGTACATTGCAGAAACGATTTGCTAAAATTTATTCAAATACTATTTTATTGTCAAAAAATCTTCAAAAACATGATGATTACAAACAAAGTGCAACAGTAACTGTCCACAATTTGATCGAAGCAACGAAACTCGTTCGTTCCAGAGATGAAACATCAATGTCTACAGATCTTCCATATTATCAAACATCCCATGGTCAAATTACAAATATCTCGACATCCATGCTGGTTCAAGGTAATCATTCAGAACTTTATCCTTCTAAGTATTTATCAAGTGGAGAGTGCGATATACTATCTTATAAGGGATCTTTAGATACCTCAGTGAAAGTACCAACATCAGAGCAACCGATCACATCATATGAAAATTCATTTATAAATATAGTTTCTGAAACGAAAGGAGAATTCACGGATGTAGACGACAAAGAACCTTCAGAAAACGAGTTATATGAAGAATTAAAAAGGAAGTTGCAAGATGGTTTATTCGCGTATGACATTCAGAATCAAAACGAATTAGAACAACGTATCAAGGATAAGAAAGAAGAGATTCAGTCATTAGCAAGTGAAGGGAAACAGCAGAGTGTAAAAAAACGAAAACAGTCATTATCAGAACTTGAAGAACTTCAGTCGTTAGTTGTCAAAATTAAAGTTCTACAACCTCTCCAGTCAGATGATTCGGATGAATTATTAAAAAAAGAGTTGAGAGATGGATTAGACGGATATGATCTTAAAGATACAGAAGAGCTGAAACAACGAATAATACAGAAAAAGCAAGAAATTCAGTCGTTGGAAAAGGAGAAAAAATATAAAATAGCGCAAAAGCGAAAAGATTCTTTATTAGAACTCGAACAACTTCAATTGTTAGCTGACAAAATTAAGCATACTGAAACTGTTACACCGGCTGAACCTAGTAAACTTATTATACCTTCACCAAATGTAATGACAGAGCAAGTTGTTATCAACGACTCGAGTGTTGGAGAATGTCCAGTGACAGAAGAAAATGTTAAAAACCTCTATAGTGACTTTTTCTCAATACCACTGTGTGCTGAACGATCTATCATCAGCCTTTTGTTTTATGTTTCTCTCAAATTAGTTCGCAAACCCATTGTTGATGATCATAGTATCGACGTGCCTGTTGATATAGAAACAGCAATATCAAAAGAATTAGAATGTTTGGATAATAGAGTAAAATTAGAAGAAATAGAATTCTTAAAAGTCTGTTATTCGTCAAAAGAAGCTACTGCGAATGTAAAAAATGGAAACTGGAAAGATGTATCCACTTTAATGAAAAAAATGCTCAAGGAGGTTCGTCCACTTGATATACAAGAATTGTTTCGACTCGTTGATAAAACTAACGATGCAGCAGATTTAATAAAGAATAAGGATCTGATGCTTTTTCTAGGGGGAACAGGGTCGGGAAAGTCCACTACTATTCATTTTCTCTCTGGTTCTAAAATGATTGAGCAAGAAATAGCGGGGCTCAATCATATTGCTCCTAGCGAAATACGTAATCATCAGTTGTTAAAGATAACAACTACGCCGTTTACTGAATCTGAAACTCGATATATAATACCTGTAACAGTCAATTTTAAAGACGTTGGTGCATTTGCTGATGGCAGTATTATTTTGTGTGATAGTCCTGGCTTTGAAGATACTAGTGGGGCAGAAGTAGATATAGCAAACGGACTCGGCATTGTTAAAGCTATCAAAGGATGTAAAAGTGTGAAACCTATCATTTTGAATAGTTCTAAAAGCATAGGTGATAAATGTGAAGGTTTAAAGAAATTAACTTATGTATTAGTGGGAATGATTCCCAACATTCAAGACCATATCAAAGCTTTTTCTTATATATTTACGAAATATACTCAGAAAGAGGGAAAGACAATTCATGCATATTTAGTGGACATCAATAACAAATTAAAGGATGAAGAAAAATCAGATATCAGTTATACAATTGTCTTGAAAGATATGCTAATTAAAACGAGAAAGGATCCTCTAGTCTTAGATCCGATTAATGACAATCCTGGAGAAATTCTTGATGAACTAGCAGGAGGAAATTTCATCTCTCATCCGGAAGAAGTTTTTCGATTTTCCATCACAGAAAAGTCCAAAACTGTCGTACATGAACAAGTACGACGAGACCAATCAACTATTTTGTCTGCAATAAAACGTAGTGAATATGAGTTTATAAAGTATAAACTTGATCGACTGAAACGTTTGAGTAAATTGCTTGATCAAGAATATATCGAGCGAATCTACCAGGAATGTGTTCGAGATGTAAATAAACATCTCTCGGATGAATATCAGGAAGGTACTTCTGCAATTACTCGATCTATTATGAATCAAATAATTTTGAATGATGAAGATATTGAACAATATCAAACACGAATTAAACATGCTAAGGCTGCAGAAGAATTAAGAAAGGAACATTTAGGAAAGGATACTGTTCACAATAGTGCGTTTATCCAGTATTTGAATCGACAAATCGATCTTATGCTTGACAGTTTAAAAGAGAAAGATATCAGTGATCCATCTGTGAAAACTAGTTTAGATAAAATTAAACGTCTTTCGAACTCGTTTCACGATCTCGATTGTAAGAAATATCAAACTATTCGTCAACTATTCGCCGACAGAGTTGAGCTGGTCATTAACACTTTTAAAAAATCAGTCTTGTCTAATGATTTCGATGCGACTGCTAGAGATCTAACCAAGCTATTTGATGCAATAACCATTTTACAAGGTCATTTGGAGAGTACAGATTTAGAAATGAAATATGTCGAATCGAAAAATTATTTTATTAATTATTTAAATGACTCTACCGATAAATTAAATCTTATATTTAATCAAGAGAAATTAGAAAAAAATGATATAGATAGTTTAAATAGTTGTGTGTGTATGTTAAAATCGGCTGATCAAACATTTGTTCTTCAACCACACATTTCAAAAGAAGTGATTACTAAAATTTATGATAGTTTAATATTCAAAATTGTAAATTATGCTGAAGGAATTATTAAGAAAATAAATACAGAGCTTAAGAATGAAAATGCCTTTCATACCTTGGAAAAATACATGACAGAATTAGATTCAATTCGGACAATTTCTATAATTGAATTAAGAACTACTCCTGTATACTGTAGTACGTTAGAAAAGTTAATTGCATATGTACACGAAGCCCGAAGAGTTATTGAAGAACAATTAAGAATATTATTTCGGCGAGAAGGAAAAGTTAATTACGATATATTAATCAAATGTCACTCTAGTTTAAAAAGTGCTGAATGGCTAGAGAAGTATCGAAGTGGAGTCTACTCAGATGTGGTAAATAATGTCGAACAACAATTGATTCAACATGTCAAAGCACTGCAAGAATCTGTTATGGAAGCCAATCTAGATCTTGATAATGTCGATAAAATTGAGCTGGCATATAAATTAGTATCAGAAATTAATGAAATGAAATCTATTGAAAAGCTTGTGATTGATGTAAGTGAATGTATCAATGAAGTAAATTCGTGGTTTATGAGTGTAACAAATGACGTATTTACAATTATTAAAAATACATTTAATATCGAAAAATGGAAAGAACAAGGATGTCAGACATTAGATTTTATTAAGATTGAAAAAGCATTCTCATATTTAGGGGTTTGCAAGAAAATCCGTCTTTTATTTAAAAGTGAGTGTATGTCTGTATCGAATAGTTTAGAAGAATTTATAAGATATTACAGTAATTTTATCCAGAATGAAATGGAAAATTATTTTGAAAGTATAAAACAGTTTAAAGGTGAAAATAAAGAAGAGGTCTTTGAGAAAGCTCGATTATTTGCTCGCCGTCTACGAGAATTATCAGAAATCAAATCAACATACTCTCGTATCTTTTCTTGTTTTTCAAATAAAACAGTTATGGAAGAATGGCAAAATGAATTATCTAATTATGTAACCGAACTAGCCGAGGAAATGAAAAAATTTAGTGTTTTCCAACGAACTGAATCATTAAGTACGAGTTTGATAATTGCAAAAGCTTTAAGTAAATTAGATATTTTTTTAAGTAATAAAAAATATATTAATATCTATAATACATATCAAGATAAATTTCTTCTCCAGACAAGTGATATTAATAAACGAGTAATAAAGGCGATAAAAAAAACTGATTATGAACAAGTTGCTATTGAGATGACAGCATTACAGTCATTGACTGATATAGGAGAGCATTTTTTTCAACAAACTAAGCGATCATTAACTGTAGGTTTAGATAATTTGATAGAAGAAACAAAAAGTCAAGCGATTATGCTTGGAAATAATATTGAAAAAGAAGAAATTAAATTAATTATTGACAATTGTAAACGATTGCAAAACGCGAAACAGTTTGTCTCAAATTACCTTACTAAGCCGGAGTCGATAAATAAATGTATAGAAGAAGTTAAGAATTTGATTGAAGAACGAATAAAACAATTTTTAGAAGGTGTCGAAGCGCTTGTCACGATCAACAATTTCTCTCAAGCAGATAAGAAAATCGATTTAATTATAGTAGTAGGTAATTTATTAAAAAGTGATTGTATAATAGATGTGTCCGGACAGATTGAAAAACTTAAAAAATGTCTAAATGATGTCGTTTTAATCGACGTAGTTAAGAAGTATTCCGAGATGGATATAAGCGGATATACGCTAAATCCACCGAAAGATATCTTTGCTAAATTTGGAGAAATGAACAATACGAATCCGATCTATCATCGAGCACTGGATGACATCAAAAAAGCAATTTTTGATAAAATGCGAGAGGAATTAAGAAATGCAAAATTAGCACGACCACTAAATCCTGAAAACATATATATAAGAAATTTTGAATCAGCAGTCAAACATCTGCCAGGTACAATGACAAATGCTCTTGAAATCGAATTAAAACATTGTACAGATGATATAGATCGACTTATTCGAGACAATGAGACAAATTCAGATAAAGCATTTAAGAGTGGAGATTTAAAAGAGATCAAAGCAGTCCTTGAAGAATATAAGACAACACCTGGTATGCAGTCTTATGTAAACAAAGGTCGAGATATTGTTCTAAAACAGACACAAGAAATAGCGTCTAAAATAAGCCACTGTTTTGAAAAAAACGATATCGTACAAGCATTAGATGAGGTCAAAAAACTATATGATTACAAAGTCGAATTGGATAATATTGTTGTTGAAATCAGAGAGATATGTTCAGAAGTACGATTACGTATAAAAAGTGCATTTCAAAACGCACTTAATTATTTTATGGGTCGATTTTTAAATTCAAAGATTTCAGTTGTTACTAACGAAGTAATCGATGATGCAGAGAAAAGTTTTATATGTTTAATCGAATTTATGAAGTTTGAATATGAACATAGAGGTCAATCTATTGTCACGAATATGCTACCAGAAAATTTTAAAGAGAATGTGGCTATAATAATTAAACGGATTCCAGAATATTTCAATGAACATCAGAAAAAATATAAAGATGCGCTAGATGAACTGGATGTGACTTCTCTGAAAGAGTCTTTGGACAGAACACGGCAGTGGGATTCTTTATTTACTAAAATGAAAGTTTATGATAGCATGCATAGCACTAATGATCCATCGATGAATACAATAGTTAAGGCGGTCACAGAAGTGATATTGTATCCACAAATGCAAGAAGTAGTTGCTGATAAAATTCAAGAACTAAGAAATGAATTAGTTAGTCAAGAATTGATTAATAAAGATACAAAAGAATATGAAAAGCAAAGGAATGAATTCTATAAAAAACTTAATGAAAAATTTTTGATATTGAACAAAGCTAAAATATTTGATAATTATAACATCAATATTAATGTCAATAAACTTGAGCAAGAATGTCTAGAATCACTAAAGAAAAAAATCACAGATATTTGTTCTTTTCTTGACATTTTCGTTGAAAAGTTTTTGTCAGATTTTAACTCGATAGAACCGGATTACAAAAAATTTACTTTGTACTACAATAATTTAGTGTCATTCGACGAAGAAATGAAAGTAAAAGACTTTGAGATTTGTAACAGAATCGAACAGATTGAAGAAAGAATTTTTAAGAAGATCCATTCGTGGGAAAATGTAATCCAAAGTGGAACAACAATTGATAACATTGCAAGCAGTTTGATAAATATTAAGCGTGCTTCCAGAGACATAGTACCGTTCAGAAAGAGAATAGATGAACGAATAGATAAAGCAATAAATCATTATAAAAGTATTAGAAAGGAATCTGGAGATATTGGAAAACTAGGTACGATTTTAAATCTAGATAAAACTGGTATAGGTCAAAGTATTATTTCCGAGCATAAGGCTTTCGAAGGTTATGCACGATCAATATTTAATGAGAAAACTCAACGACATGGAATAGATTATGTGCTTAGCAATTTAAGAGGCGATCTCATTGATAAAGATCAACTGAAAAAAAGATACGATGAGTTCCATAATCTCTATAAAGATTTAATTGAAGAAAACTTAAAAACTAAACTAGAGTTACAGAAATTGATTTCTAATATCAAACTAATCGCAGGAAACATCAAACAAACATCGGATACTTTCGAATGGGATGCAGGTATAAGAACAAAAATTCCAAAATTAGCTGCTCATATATTTGCCTTATGGACACTTCAAAATGCTACTCATTACTTTGAAGCTGACGACGTCGGAAATAGAGATGCATATCTCCTTCAGCCTCATGCAGCTCAAATCATTTCTATATTTCGTATGTTAGGTATCGGTGATGAGAAAGAAGAATTGAAAAATAATTTGGTTCAGATAAGAACAGGTGAAGGAAAGTCTGTAACATTAGGAGTAATAGCTTGTATACTTGCACTACTGGGGTTCGATGTGTGTTGTACATGTTATAGTGAATATCTAAGTCAGAGAGATTATACATCGTTTTTAGTGTTGTTCGATTCGTTAGGATTAGTGCAGTATATTCGTTACGGTACCTTTAATCGATTATGTGAGGATGTGATTAATGAGAACGGTGTTGTTCGAGAAACAATAGAACAGTTAGTTTCTAGCAATTTAAATGTGGCCATAAAAAATAGTCAACAAATAAAACGCTCGAAAATATTATTAATTGATGAAGTTGACGTTTTCTTCAGTAAAGATTTCTATGGTAATATCTATACACCAGCAGCTAGTTTACGGGATCCAACGATAACGTCATTAGTTAATTTTATTTGGACACATAGAAAGTCCAAATTGAATTTAAGTAAAGTAAAAACTTCATCAGAATATACAGCCTGTTGTACCCGATTTCCAAATTGGGAGTCATTGATCCAAGAAGCTATCAAAGATATGCTTTTCGATATCAACAATTTTGAGTCTCATGGTTATATTGTTAACCAAGGTCAGATTGGATATAAAGAGCAGGATAATATTATGTACAACGTTGTTTATGGTTATAAGACTTTGTTCGCGTATTACTATGAATATGAAAACGAAAATATAAAGGAAAACATTTTAGAAGAAAATATATCTATTAAAATCAAATGTGGTAGTTTTTCATATGCTGAAATACCACCTGAGTTTAGGTTTATTATGGGTGTTACAGGGACTCTTGAAACTTTAAGTGACCCGGAAAAAGGAATCGTGAAAAATGTCTATAAAATCGGTACAAATACATATACTCCCTCTGTATTTGGTAAAAACAACTTGTCATTTACAGAAAAGGATGATATTAAGATTGAGAATAGGGATGATTATTTTAATGTCATAAGAAAAGAAATTGATGATCGATTAGTAGGAAAGTCATCTGAGAAGCGTGCTGTTCTAGTATTTTTTGAATCCAAACAGAAGTTGAAGGAGTTTTATGAATCAAAAGCCTTAGAGCCGATCAAAGAATGTGTTACCTATTTGACCGAAGAACTAGAAGAAGAAGAGAAAGAGAGTTTAATTAAACGTGCGACTACATCTGGCCAGATAACATTATTTACCAGAACTTTTGGTAGGGGAACAGATTTCATATGCCATGATCAAAACGTCTTAGCAAGTGGCGGTGCTCATGTTATTCAAACATTCCTTTCTGAAGAAATATCAGAAGAAGTACAAATAAAAGGTAGAACTGCACGACAGGGTGATAACGGTTCATATAGTATGATTTTGCTCGAGAGTGATTTAGAAAAATTTCTAATACAGAAAGATAACATTGAGGATGTCAAGAAAGGTAAAGGAATTCTAGTTCGTATTGCCGATAAACTGACTGCGAATAAAACATATGATACAGTTTACGATCTTCTTAATTGCAAACGGACTGATTTATTTAAAACACAGTATACAGCGGATACGAAATATGTTGAATTAGCTAAAGAAAGACATGTCATTGCAAAAAAATTCTTAGCAAGTCTTGCTGATGGTGATATGAAATCAGTAACTACATTTTTGATTGAAGAGAACAAAGGAGTAGAAGAAGTCCCCAGTTCTCGAACTGTTTGTCTCATGGATGCAACTGGTTCAATGAGCCATTTATTGCATAAATGTAAAAATACAGTTAACATTATGTTTGAACGAGCATCTGAAATTCTAAAAGATAATAACATCAAAGCAGATTCGTTTCAAATTCAGTTTGTTGTGTATCGAAATTATAATAGTACAGAAGATAAGATCCTCCAGAGTTCTCCTTGGGAAATAAAACCAGATAATTTGCGTGCTTTTATGAATACCATTGAAGTTGACGGAGGCTGGGGTAACGAAGCTATCGAAATTGGTTTATGGCATGCCAATAAAGAAAATGAGCGAGAGAATATTACTCAAGTGATTTTGATAGGTGACGCACCTCCAAATACGGAAGTCGAAGTGAAAAATAAAAGAGCGAAAAACGGAGAAAATTACTGGCAACAAACTAAATTTGCTCAATCAACCTATTATGAGGATGAGTTAGCAAAATTAATATCGAATAATATTCCAGTACATGCATTTTATGTAGAAAAGAATGCAGAAGCAACTTTTCGCGCAATAGCTACTAAAACAGAAGGACGTTGTGAGGAGTTAGATATCAATTCTGACTCAGGTGCGGAGATGTTGGCAGATTTGGTCACAGAAGAAGTTCTCCGAAACATCGGAGGTGATACACGAGGAAACGAACTTGTAGATGCCTATAGAAAGAAATTTAATAAACTTTTTCAATAAGAAAGTCTTAGTAATAAAATCAACTAAAGTTATATGCTACTTTTTTCTAATCATCAAACTCTATGATAAATACTTACAGTTGCTCTGTATCGTTGTGTACTTCCATTGATTTTTGCTTTTGTCTATCTTTTGTTGTATTCTCAGACATCATATAAATGTACACCTGGTTGTTTTTTCAATGTCAGTATGCATTTTTTTATGTTTATGGAATTTTATTACCCTTTCTTTTATGTAATTCATTATTTTTTTATATGAAATACTCTCTTCTATGATTGTCGTCTTAATCTACTTCATTTATAATCTTGAATAAATGCTTTTCATTAAAACATTGGATTTCAAATAATCTTCATTGTTGAACAGATTTTCCTGTATTACGTTTATATATTCTATGGACTTCGGGATATTTCGTAAGTTTCAAAGATAGATAAGAATTCGTTTTTATGGGAATGCAAGTTGATTCTTAAAAGCTAAGCAAAACTATATTTATTTTATCAAAACAACTTCTGTGAATAATGACAAAAGTGAATGCTTTCTAAGTTACTATGAATACCTACATGAAGATCCAACACAGCAAAAGTAATTGAAAACAAATGATATTTTGTAGGTTGCATTCAACAAAAACTAGCTTATCAGTAAACAATGAGCGATATCTAAAATTTGACTGTTATACTTTCATCAATATGCCCTACATAGTTTTAAAAGCAACACGATCTTTGCATTTTGTTTCATCTTGTAATCAAAAAGTGAATTCATCATTTCATTTTTCTGTACTTTGCTTCTACCGTTTGTGTTCAATGATGGGTGCGAGTGCGTATGTTGAAATTAGATATACACCCATACCCATACTCACCAACACCCACACCCCACCCACCCTCAATTTGAATATTATATAAAAATCATTGATCTGTTTTATTAAAAAAAAGAATATCTATATATCTATTTATTTCATTCATCAAATTCAAAAAGTTGAATCTAATAATTCTTTTTGTTTGTCTGTACGAATTTTGTCTACTTGTGAAATATAATTATCAAGACGAAGTTTTAAATTTGCATCTAAATCAACAATCATATCTCGACTTAAACTTTTCTCTTGTTTCTTCAAATTTCGATGTGCTTTTGAATAAGCTTCACGCATTTTAACTACAATTTGATCAGCTAATTTTTTTGCATTTTTTGCTAATTCTTCACGATGTTCACGTGTGACTTTTGGTGTTGGTAGAAAAATAGTTGTACCATCTTGTTGAGGATTAATATTGAGACCAGATTTTTGAATAGCTTCGAGTACATTTGGTATATATTGTGCATGACGAGCCATATCAATCATAAACATTTGTGGAGATTTTTGAATAATTTGTGTCAATTCTTTCAATTGATGAGCTTTTTTATTTGGTGGAATTGTCACTGATAATTCTTCAAATGCTAATGATGATGTTCGTAATTGAATTTGTTTTGAATAAAGTTCACGAAGTTCAATAAGAAATTTATCATATTGAGTTTTTAATAATGGCCATTGATTCGATGTAGCAGATAAATCAGCATCAGATAGAATACGTTTTGAAGATTTTGATTCACCACCACCTGCATTTTTACCTTTAAAAAGTACAGCTGAAGTAGAAAATGAATGAATTTGTGATTGTTGTAATGTTACTATACGACGAAGAGCAAGTGATAAAAACATTATCTGTAATATAATTCAAACAATAAGCCTTATTATTTCGTATAAAATAACTGTCAAGAAAACAAAAAAGAAGAATCTTAAAAGTTCACATTATTTTTCTATTGATCTAATAAATGTTTTATATCTTCTTTTATTTTAATTCGTAATTCAGATGATAATGCTATTCCATTTATATTTTCACGTAATTCCAATTCAGTTAAATCATCAAATACTTCTGCATCTAAAATAAATTATGTATGAAACTTTCTATGAATATATTTTTTACTTACATCGAAGAAATACATAACCTGATAATTCTAAACAAGCAAAATTACATCGATCCATTGGTTTTACTCCTACATGAAAATTCATAAAATATCATTGATTTTGTAATAAAAAAAAAGTTTACCAATTTTTGGTTGACGAAACCAAATAAAAATACGTAAAGCTGGTTCTGATACGACTGAAAATGAATCACCTTTTACAATCGATAAATTATGTGCAATTTCCGATTGAGTTAAATAATTTGTTATTTTATAAACATATCTAAATAAATACTCGATTTATTGAAACAAACAATTTCAATTATTACCGAGCAACTTTATCAAAATCATTGACATTTTTTATTTCGAAAGCAAATGCTTCGGTTTGAAAAAAATCGTGAAGATAACAATTTGATTTTGTATGAAATGGAGAACATACAATAGTTTGCAGAAATAAACGATCAGGCATGTATATTCCATGGAAATGAAGCTAAATAAACATAATTCATTGTATTTTACTTCAATAAAAAAAAAGAAATTTCTATACATGATTAATTGATGCATAACCACAAAGTGAATTAAAACCGACATAGATAAATGGATGAGCACTTGAAGTGATAAATTCCAGTGCAAATAAAATACTATCTATTGTTGAAATCTATTCATTTATAAAAATTTATAGGATTTTGTTTTTTGTTGTCTCTAATTACTTGTGTTTGTTCAAGTTGACGATCTGGCACAAGTAATACATGATAAGAACGAATAGGTGAATTATTAATGATTACTAAATGTTTATCAGTTTGTTGTTCATTATCTAGAGAGAAAAGAATCTAAAAATTAATTATTATTATCATTTGTTGTTTTATATAAAGATATATTTACTTCTTCATTTTTAATTTTATTGAAATTAAATTTATTTTTATCAAATGGTGTAATCACATGTTCAAATGCATAGGGTAATCGACGTTTTTCATATCGACTAGGATTTAACTATATATACAGAAAGAGAGATTGATAAAAAATGAAATAATATAATTTAATTTACTTCAACTATGTAGTGTAGATCACCGTCTAATACTCGTTGTTTTACTTGATTATCAATTTGAAAAGTAAAAAGATTTTGTGCTAAAGCACGATCCCATTCTGTATGTAATAATGCATCAAACTAAAATAAAATTATATTAAATATTTTATATTTATTGAATTACTTCATTAAGTTTCACATCTGTATGACATGATAAATTAATTGAATGAGGATCAAATTTAAAATGTTTCCACATGATATATCTGAAAAACAATGAAAAAAATGTCAGTCTATTGGCATTATAAGTGATCCTTCATCATCGTCATCATCATCATCGTTATTGCCTCCTTCTTCTGTTTTAGTATCAATACGAAAAGCACATTCACGTTTATCATGTAATCCATAAAATGATAAAGCACAACGAACTTGATTTAACATCCTTTAAATAAATTATTTTTTTTAATTAAAAATAACTAATCAAAAACCAATTTACTTTGCTTTAGTACGAATTGTTGCTGTTCCATATCTGAATGAAACAATTTCAACATGAATTGATTGACTACCAATCTGAAAAATACAGAAATGTTTAATGTATAATAAGCAAAATAATTTTTTAAACCTCGCCGAAAAGTATATTTATTGATCGTTCAATTGCATTTCGTAGAATATATTCTTCGACAATAGGTTGATCATCAAATTCTCTAGAATTTTATTAAAAATTAATGAATTTTTTTAAAAATAAATATCATTGACACTGACAATCGGACATAAAGTTCAATATCACGTTCTGCTGCAGCTTGAGCTGATTTGGATTTGTGCCGTTTTTTCATTTTTCAGATATATAAACTGACAGTCGTCTTTTTCGTGTTCAGACGAAAAAAATATCTACTGATTATCAATTGGTCAAGAATAAACTAATCATTTCTTACGATCGAATTTTTTCATTGGTGTAGATTGACAGTATATGATGTTGTCTTTCTTCTTTCTTTACGATTAATAAGAATCACCTTGAAATAATTTGATAAAATGGCTGCAAGTACTCTTATTGATGCACAACCAACTGTTGATCCACCAGAAGATACCAAAGAACTTGCTGAAACATTAACGTAATTGAATAATTCACATACATAAATCAATCTAATTTTTATTTTAATTTTTAGAGAATTTGAATTAACTTCTGGTGTTATAAGTGCTGAAGATGAAGCTGAAGAGTCAGCAGTAGCTGATGTAAATTTTAGTTTTATAATTAAATTTATCTATTTGATTTATTTTTAGCGAATTCAACAACGTCTTGAACGTTTTGGAAAAATTGCACCTGAAGCAAAAAAAATTTCACGTGCTTTACGTTTTGGTACACAACATGAAGCCATTGATGAAACAGCTAAAAAACGACGTTTAGAAAGATTTGGTGTTGCAACTGTTTCAACAGTATGTAATTATTTTTGAATAAATATTCAATACATATATGTATATGTATAGGAAGCTGCACAAGAAAAGAAGCGTCAACGAGGTGAACGTTTTCATACTGATACTCCAACATCAGTAGTCGATGAAGAAACAAAACAAAA